GGGATTAAGAGAACTATTAGTCAAGACAAGAAGTTTCATTCCATATTTGTAGAATTAAAAGATTTTTACTTATATCAATGATTTGCATATGTTTTTTAATTGTTGAACATAAAATATATATAAATTTAATAATTAAGAGAACTTACGTTCACTTTATCTTGTATTGATCAAACTCCATAGCTTTAAAATTCTAGTAAAGTTATATATCTATTTTCTTTACAATACTCTCTTTCTTGATAAGAATTCTTATGTTATTTTTTATTTTTTTTCTCACTATCATTTGTTGTATGATTTGACTTGTGCATATATAATTATCTTGTTATCATTGCTTCATATGCATATAATAGGTAATTGTGGTGCTTATGTTTCATGACTAAGATATATGTATCTAAAATTGAAGTTATATCTCATATTCATCCAAAGTAAGTCTTTAGAAGAAGTGTGTATTGCAAAGAAAATTAATTCTTACTGTTGATATTGTTTGTATTGACAAGAATTTATTTGTTCTCATTATTTATTGTCTCATTAATTAATATATGTGAATTATCATTGTTAGGAGAATTGAATGGTTATTTGGAGTAATCAAACAAGAATGTCTATTAGATAGGTTCTTATTGAGATGTAAGATTACTACTTTCTTTAGAGAACTAGGTTGAATTATGTCATATTCTTCTAGCTGGTGATATTGCTGCACTAGCTTTAATATGGCAAATCCACACAACGAATATTTTCAAAATACATAATTTTTTTTAATAGATAGTATGTGATTATAGTATTTTTTCTTAAAGTTTGCAAGTTTAATTTTTAATCATAATATTGCTACTTTGTTAGTCATAATTATTAACTAATTTATTTTTATTTTTATTTTTTTGCAGATTTGAGACATATATTATATTTTTTGGTAGAAGGACTTGTCCATTAATTATATAGATTTTGACCTTTCCTTACTTACAAATTAAGAGAGTTGTATCATTGCCATTTTTATTTTATTTTTTTGTTTCTAAGTAAAAAAGGATTCAAAGTTGATGAATTATTGTTAATTATGAGCAAGATATTAGATAGCTCTCATGTTAATGTATCAATGTACATCTTTATTGCTCTTAGCTAGAATGCTCTTTTGGAACAATATGCTTATGTCAAGTAGACATGAATATAGAAGGAAAGAAGAAATTCTTTTATAGTTTTTTGTTTTTTTTTATATTTTTGCTTTTTGCTTTCATTCTATGATTTCAAGGTATTAATTGAAGTCTTTGACTTATTTTTAAAATAATTCATTCATCAAAGTCTCATTTTCTTATAATGAAAGCATGAAGTAGTAGATTTTAGTTTCTCTTTTGTATTCTTATAGTCTTATTTAGGATTATTTAAAAATATTTTAAGTTCTTACTTGTTTTTATTCTTATGTCCTATAAAAAAGGCTTTTAATTCAAAAGATGGTACTTTTATGGTTATTTCTTTGTGAAGAAAGATAGCAATCATTTTTTTTAGGATTATTATGCCTATTGTTTATAATATTTAGATAATTATACTATACTATGTTGGCATTGGCCTCATCAAAGTCAAAACTTCTATTTTAGTTAGAATAATATTGCTAGAATAGTTTCTTGAAGTTATGTAAATGTTGCATTATTGTTTTTTATACTTATATTTTTAGAGTTTTGAACTTTTCTAGCATGTGGGCTTGAATTATAATATTGTTAGCAAAATATGTAATTTCCAAAGTCATCTATGCTTTATTGATTGTTTTGTAAGTTATAATGTAGAAGAATATAGACTTGTCTATACAATTCCAAAATGTTGTAAGCACAATGTGATCTTTTTTTCTTCAAGTAGTGATGGCTGCTTCATTTGAAGGTTATGCCTTAGTTGCTACATTCCACTGTGAAATTGGCACTAGTTTTATTTTTTTGTTTTTTTGCCTTAAAATAGTCCCTATATTTCTTCCATTTTAAACTTCATCTATATTTTTTTATCTCCAAATAATATACCATGAGTCATCAAAATTCAATCATTTATTAGTAGTGAAATTGTTGGTAACCATGTTGACATTGTTGTTTGCAAGTATAAGTATTCCATCCTTCTTTTTGCTTTCTTTTTGGTGAGCTTTTTTGTCTTTCTTAATTTTTTGTCATAGAAATTACACAATATCAATAGGATTGATACTACTTAGTCTATGGTGGATTTGTATAACATTTATATGTAATTGAGTGACATAGAGAATTTTGGTGAAGAAGGATCTATTGGTGCCTCAGTTTTTGTGTAAAATGTTTTAAACACAACCCTCCTAATTTGAGATGCTCTCCTCTCTATCATATCTCTAGAACTACTCTATGAGGTTCTCAAAGCTGTGGAAGCTCTAATATCACATTCAAAATAGAACTGGTCAAAGAGTGGTCAAAGTTAGGCAAAAATATAAATTGTCTGGAGATTAAAAAATCTAGATAATTCATTGAGAACCTTGTGAGGTTTAGCAAAACATATGGTGCCCAGTGGGGTTGCCAAAGGGTAAGGATTGCATTTACTCAATGGGGTGTAACTGCAGTAAACCTTACGTCTCTTTCTTTGAACTAGTTAAAGACCAGTCTGAACTAGAAGTCTGCATTTACTATTTTAGCTAACATGAGATATAAAGTCTGTTTCCAACAAACTGGCCTTCACGGCGCTGGACCCCAGCTAGTTGGAAACTTAGCTTCAAGTCAAACATTCAAAAAATTCCCTCACATCCAATACTATCTCAGGCTCCTTGCTCAAACATGAGGATTCCTGTCCAAGTTTAACATCCTTCACATGCAGCATTTCCAACTCAAAATCATGAGTCTATGCGCATAGCCAAGCATCATTTCCACTTCAATTCCTCGAAGCTCCGCCCTCTAATTCGAACCACAATCCGGCCATAATTCATTGCAGCTACGTCACGCATTCGGAAGGAGAAACCGAAACGTAGAACCTCGGCTACAGTAAAACAACTTCCACTAGAAACATGCAGCTCTAGTGCTCCCGACTCCATCTAGACCTCCGAAATTTTCTTGGGATCCGACACCGTCAATGTACTCATTTAACTCTCGGCATCTATGACATCGTCCTCCTCGGAAGATATCCTACAACAAGAAAAAATCCACAGTCACGGGAGCTGCCGCAGACTGGTCGCACTTTACACCACCAGCGAGTTCCACCTGTTTTCCATAAATACATGAAGTCCTCAAGATACACACCAACTTCACAACCACGAACGTAGCATCGAACAACTCCGCACCCGCTCCCTTTCACCACCAGACGTCGACGCTTCACCCAGTTTGCTTTAAGGCCTCCCTTCACTCCAGTAGCCTTGATTTCGTTGTCGAAAAATTTATTCCGTTCATTAACGACGCTCGATCGCACTTGCAGCACCTCCTGTCATCCACCCATGTTTCCTCCTTATCACAGGTCCATCGTATGCGGTGTCCATAAATGCCCGGTAATCCAAACAAGCAGCCACAACCACAACATAATATCGCCTCCAGAAGTACATTTTCTCCGAATCACCTGCACCTCTTCCTTACTCAAATTCACCGACACCACTACATGAAAGACTCCCGTACAAAGTAATGCAATCTAAGCTTCGTCCTGTATATCGAGGAACAATCCGGTGACGCAACCTCAGAAGAAAACCTTGCCTCCTATGAAGGAATGATACGGCGTCATGGGTACCAATTCCATTGCAGAAACGAGAAGGCCTTCTCTGGATGAGAAATAAGAAGTTGACAAAACTGAGAAAAATGCTACAAAAGGAAGGGAACATGAATATATTATCTTTGCCTGCTACACTTCTTCTCGCCTCATCCCCAGAAACCAGAAGCACTTGTGCCAGAACCTAAACTGATCCCGGCACTCCTTGATTATGGTTATCCAACCTTTATTCCACCAACAAAAGTGACAACCAGAAACTTCTCCCAATTTTCCACGCGAGTGCTCTAAAACTGTTTCCACCAGAGTGTGAAATCATCAAGGCACATCGGTGATGATAAGATTACACACCAACAAGACCCAACGAGATTGGATTTCACCAAGGAACTGGTACCCAATTATCCTAACAACTGTCACCAAACCCGGGGTTCCCATGCACTCCAGCGACTTGCAAGGCTGGAAATATTCCACTACAACCACCTGATCGCTCACTTGGGTGCTCGCGTCAACTGATCAGCAACTCTCAACACCTCAAGGAAAACTCAAGGAAAACCCAAGGAAAAGGGCCCAACGGCACAAAGCCTCCGCTGTGCCACTCCCATGAACACAAGATCCAGAAAACAGTATGCAAGCTGATATTCCTGGTAAAGATTAGCAAGCTACGCAGTGCATTCCTCGCTTCCAGTTGTTTCTATCTAGTGCCATCACCAACCGCACTTCACACATACGCCAAACTGTTTTCACCGCAAGTTTGCAAAAAGGTTTTATTCCTCCGAAAAAAAGCCAAATGTAAATCTTCAAAAACAGGAAACCATCAAAAAAAATCAAAAAATGTAAGAGTATTTTACCGCAAAAATCTCCGCTTGTCCGCCTGATCGTGACTATTCTTCTATTCTTGAAGTAGAAAAAGCCCCAAAAAAATTAGTGAAAAGGGAAAAAGAAAAAGAAAAAACGAGAAGATTATCAGAAGGAAAAGAAAAGAAAAAAAGATAGGCTAGAACGGTTGAGGTGCTCGCGTCAACTGAATAGATTTCAAAACCTCAAAAAGTTACAAAAATAAAAATTAACATAAACATAAAAATAAACAAACCCAAATTATTAATTGACCCAAATCAGTGACACCGTATTAATATACGTATTAGTATCCGTTAAGTACAACTGAAATTGTACATGTGTGTATACGTTATATGCCCTAAAGGAAATACGAGTATCGCATTAAAGGTTGGAAATATCTTGAGGTGTTCGCAGCCGCTTGTTTCTGAGCTGTTAAAGTTTAAACCCTAAAAACCCTACGCAGGCTTCGTTTGGCGTCATCCTTGAAGGTCATGCAGGTTGAGCTTTCACTCTGCTTGTCCTAAGTCCTTTCGATTTCCTGAAGCTCTTTAGCGCTGCATTGTCGGTGAGAATCGCGTTGTGTTGAACTGTTAAGCTGTTCGGTTTTTCGTGGACGTCTGGTTTTGGTTCCGGTTTAGATTTTGGATAATATCCTGGCTCTTCGACCTCAGCGAGATTCTGGAATTTCTTTGTACTGGCGAAGCGATTAGGGTGGTGAATTATTTTGCCTTATTGCCGCTTCGTAGCGTTCAAGCCTCTGTCGCATTCGACTTCGTGGGCTCGAGGCTTTGTATGGATGTGTTGTCTATGAGGGTGAGTTGCACTTGCTATTTTGCGTATAGTGTTTCAATTAGCCATCATTAAGCTAATTCTGAGGATTGTAGGTAGGGTTCGAGGATAATCGGTTCCCGTTTTTCTCACTTGATTAATTTTAAGAATTGTTTGTGCCTTGCCTGGGTCTGTGGTGTTTCTGCACCTAGGTTTTTGTTTTAAACTCAATATTTAAGACCGTATGGCACTTAGACTTCTGTAGGAATGTGACTCAAAGCCAAGCCAGATCGGTGCCAATTAGATTACTCACTTTCTTTTAAGTATTCGATCGACTGCCAGAATTTCTGTCCCAAATTACTGTAATTAGATTTATTTTTTTTATTTTTTTTTTTTTTTTTCATCTTCACTGTCAACTGTGTGCTTCTATGATCATATTTCCCGGTTCCTGGCTAATAATATGTGGCTTCAGATGGACTCTGCTAAGAATTAGGACAGTTGTGGTACTTCTTGTCGTCTTCTTTTGAAGGTTAGTAATTATCTGGGCTTCAGAATTGGAGTCTCAGAGTTGGACCATGCAAGTCCTTTTTAATTACAGCTTACTTTCAAATGTCGAGACCAAGTGTCCAGAGGATGATTTTGCCACGGTCAGTAGTCTGAAACAGTCTTTGTGTGTACAACTGTAATATGTGGTTCCTGGACTGCAGATTTGAGACAGGATTTTGGACATCAAGACGAATTGTATGGCCGGGGCAAGAATTCTTTCCCGTGCCATTAGTGGACCGTTTGTGGTCCAGCAACCCCACCTTACGCGACCGCCTCCGAGTGTAGGTAGATTCGTGGCACGTTTATCCATTGGCCGTGTTCCCGTCTTTAGATCCCCGCTACAAAGTTCTGGGGCTTCTTTTTTTGAGGGTGTCAGCTTACGACCAAAGCTTCAGCCTCTGCAAACCTTGATTTTAGACGGGCAGGGGACAATGTCAGACACCATGCCTTCTGTGGAAGGTGCCCGAGCTATGGGCGGTGGAAAGAGAACGTTTCCTGGTGGCGTTAGCAAATGGCAGTGGAGATATGCGCAGAAGAAGAAAGAAAAAGAGGCCGAGAAGGCTCGGCTTGCACGCGAGAAGCAATTGTTTGACGAGCGTCGCCGCAATGAGGCCATGGGTGTTGCCCCAGTGCTAGAGAAGCCGTGGGAGCCACGTTCTTCATCACCTGCGTCTCCTCTTCCTCCAGCTCGCCAGGATCCTCAGGTTAGAGCACTTGCTAGCAGATTCGTAAAACCAGGAGCCGTGGAATTGTGGACAGAGGAAGATGGTGCTGTTACGAGAACTGAACCGAAGCCTTCCGCAAGGTTTTTGCCGAAGGCTGGCGGTCAAGGCAATTTTGTGGGAGGGAGTTTTGGAGGATCCTCTTCGAGCAATGGCAAAAGAAACGGTAATTTCTCGTGTTAGGTGGTGTACATTTAACGTCAGCATGATATTTTTTAGGAGCTCCCTTGAGTTTGTCGGAAATGAACTAGTCCGAAATGTCATTTAACTTCAGGTTTCTTAACAGCAGCTAAGTACCACTTGATTTAAATGATCATGTATCTTGGAACATGACTGTACAGGCTCAAGCAAACGTCGTAGTGGTCCTGTACCAGTAATTGTAGACACGGACATGCCTCTTGCCGATGATGTTGTACAGCGTAAGAAGTTAAAAGAGTCACCAGAAAGCAGTGACGAAGAACCCCTGGTCATAGAAGAAAAAACTGCTTCTCATTTATCAAAAACCAGGTAATGTGAAGCTGTACGCAAAACGAAGGATTTTATCCCCAACCTACCTTTGTATTTTTCGTGAATGTTGAATGTTGTACATAGTTCGTTTTGAATGTTGTTTATTTTTGTGACCTGTTGCTTAGTTTGGGAAAGTCAATGTCATGTGTTAATGTGACAGTGCTGGTGTGTGACAGGTTTGACAACTTTAAGATATCTCCACTTTCCCTTAAAGCTCTACATGAGGTGGCTGGATTTGACACCATGACAGTTGTTCAGAACGAGACATTACCAGTAATTCTTAAAGGTGATTGACCTCTAATTACTCAGGTTTCGTTGTATCTGAGATGGAGATATTTACGGTTGATTATTACGGTCTTGATTCTCTCTGTCAAGTTGTATGATTTGATTTTATTATGTTTGGCTGGCACAGGAACGGACGTGCTAGCTAGAGCGAAAACGGGCACTGGCAAAACTGTTGCTTTTCTGGTAAACGTCTCGACTAGTCTATAGTAATTCGGTCTAGACTTTTTCACTCATCAATTCTGTTGTGTTACTATATTTTAATTTTATGACGTCTGGAATTAGTCATGGGCATCATTCATTGCAGAAAGTCTATTCTCGAAGCTCAGTGCTTGTCGATGTTGTGCAGTTGCCAGCTATTGAGTCTATCCTACGAGAAGGATCTAGGAAAGTGAAGAGGAATTCAATTAATGTTTTAGCCATTTGCCCGACTCGAGAATTGGCTACTCAAGTTGCCGCCGAAGCTAAGATGTTAACTACATTCCACCGTGATTTAGGAGTGCAAGTCGTCATTGGAGGCACTAACATGGCCACGGAGAGTGCGAGGCTTCAGAGATCACCATGTCAAGTAAGTAGAGTCAGATAACTTTCTTTAAACCGCAAGTGATAGTGCAAGTAGTAAAAATGTCAAATTTCGACACAGCTATCTTGCCCCTCTGCGGTATCTGGTTTTTTAGCAGGATTGTGCATAACAAAGAAGTTCCAAAAAGAGTCATCAATTGTTCAGATTGCTAGACGTACCAATTTGGCATGGCATAACCTTATCCTTATACCGTCGTCTCTATTCTTTTTGTAGATTCTGGTTGGAACTCCGGGAAGGCTGCTCGACCATATTCAAAGTGATCGAGCTGTCCGAAGTCAGTTAGAAGACCTTAAAGTTTTAATACTGGATGAAGCCGATCAGCTATTGGACATGGGATTCAGAAAAAGTTTGAATGGCATCATCAAAGCGTTGCCAACGGAGAGACAAACTCTCTTATTCTCAGCAACTGTTCCTAATGAGGTTCTCTTGTGCGTTCCTTTCTGTCGTGCCTTATTGTTTAGACTATATACCGAATTCTTACTGTTTTCTCTCTAATACCTCGATCATTTCTATATGATCGATTGTTGCTGAGAAATCAAATCATGATTTTTTAGTTTCATAAAAAGAGATCACGTGTAATGCAAATCAAATGCCAAATTAATGCTATCGAACTAGGAAGTGTTCTAGACTGCGTTAGAGAATGCTGCAGTGTCTCTTGTTCAAAGTTCTAAATTCCTGTGGTGATACTTTAGGTGAAAAGCATGTGTGAAATTGCCTTGAAGAAAGGCTATACGTATATTGATACTGTCGGAGAGGACAACGTTGAGACTCATATGAAGGTTAGTTTCGCATATTTCATACGGTTGAGATGCTTAGTCTAAGGAGTAAAGCCATATATAATCGTTCAAAAGGCCGATTTGCGTTGAATCAAGACAAATGTATTGAACCGTTTGGAATCAAATGCATTTATTCTTCTCAATGTTCTCGTGTATTTCCAGGTCCAACAAGAGTATCTTCTTGTACCTTTAGAGAAGCAATTGTCAATTCTCTATGCTTTGCTGAAGGAGCACGCAGTTGAAGACCCCGATTTCAAGGTCTCCTCTTGTCCTCTCACTCCCTTACCGATTAGAAAGTATAAGAATAGTGGTGAGTGAAGCATGATGTTTCATGTTAGGGTGCTAGTTGATGGCTTTCTGAAGTTTTATGTATTGATCAGAAGTACGTTCAGGTTATGTACTATCTGTTGTGCATTCTTCTAAGTTGGTTGATCAAGTCTGTTGACATTTTTTTTCCTTTTCAAATCTTTACAGGTCCTAGTCTTCTGCACTTCAGCCAAATGTACAGCCTTGTTTGCGGAATTTTACAAGAAACTTGGTATGAACACCCTTGAGATTCACTCTCGGAAGTCGCAGTCTTTCCGAACCAAAGCATCAAATGAATTTCGTAATCACCCTGGTGGCGTCATCATGTTTACATCTGATGTTTCAGCCCGAGGTGTTGATTATCCAGACGTCACGTTTGTTGTTCAGGTACGTTTTTCTGGTCATGCTAAGTTCCCTTAGTTCCTAGACCTTAAGCATCTTCTAATACATGTGTCTTCTCTTATTTTTGAGGAATCGCTTTAAGACTGTTGAGTGTCACTATCCTCGTTGCGGAAATCAGAGAACTGCATTGAGTGTGTAAAACGGTTCATCCGTGACCGTAAACTTCTGCCACAAGATGCCATCCCTCTATTTGCTCTGCACATGGAGGGATTATTTATTATTCAGTTTTTCTTGAACCATCATCTCTGAAGATTTATGAGCATCTATATTCAGTATGTTGGATGGTGACATGCAGGTTGGAACACCAGCAAGTCGAGAGCAGTACATTCACAGACTTGGTCGCACAGGTCGAGCCGGTAAGGAAGGGCGAGGACTGCTTCTGTTGACGCCCTGGGAGGAGGTGTTCTTGAGGTCTTTGAATGACATTACAATCACTCAATCCAAGGGCACGGAAGTCTCTCCGGATATTGAAGCAAAGGTTTGTACTTGATTGAATTCAAAATCTTAGCCCAATTTTTCTGCGCATGACAGTTTTAAAGAATAGTTGGAACTTAAACGTATGTAAGGCTCTGGTTGGAATTGTATATTCCATTTCAAATGCTATCACATAATTGTGAAAATAAGATGCATGGTGATACTTGCCTTGATCGGGACAATGCAACCAACTTGTTCTGTTTGGATGCAGAAGAAATACATCACATGAGCGGAATTTCTAACTGTAATCGTTGTTCAGGTGAACAAAGCTTTGGGATATATTGATGAAGATACAAAGAGCAAAGCATATCAAGCATGGTTGGGTTACTACAATTCATGTAGACTCTTAAAGTGGGACAAACAGACACTCGTGAAGCGAGCAAACTTGTTTAGCTCTACACTAGGCCTAAGGCAACCACCAGCGTTGCTGAAAAAGACCGTTGGCATGATGGGACTTAGAAACGTGCCCGGTTTGACGGTTATTTAACTCTTTTACCACTGGACCTTTTTGATTTGTGCCATTAGTCTAGGAAGCCTAACTAAACATTGATGCTATAGAACTTAGCATCGTAGTTCTCAGGGGAACACGATGTTAACTTAGCATCCCCTGAGAATTTTGGCTACGCCTGCTTTCGGTTATGGTCGCTATTGTAACAGACGTCCACGATGGCTTTGTGGCGAGAATGATCCTTGTGGGGGTTGTACTATTTAGGTTACCTATTGTGGAGCTGGTGAATTCAAACTAACCTCGACCTTCGTCCGAGAGAGTGGTAAATGTAGGAATCATTCATACGTAGCTTAGCGTTTTTGTGGAGCTGAACTGGATATGAAATTGAATTCATTTCATTCGCCATCGGTGTGTTCTACTGTTGTGTGGTCCCCTGTTACACCAGCAGATTTGAAATGGATTTTTTCGGTCCATTTCTACACTTTTGATTGATTATCTGGATGGAAACAATTGAATATTAATAGACCCTGTTGTTCACCGTGATTGTACCCTCCTGATTACATCTCTGTAATCATCACAATGTTGTGTCTAATTTAGTCGGTTGCTGGCGATCAGTAGCCCAAAGAGGCGCATTCCGTTTGGCTGCAAATCAGACCAATTCACACACATTTTCTTTTTTTGCAATTTGTATTCTAGCTGAACATGTGAAAATATGTTTCGTATGCACTCTCAAGGGAAACAACTTCTAGAAGACATGTGAATGGTAATTGGGCCATTTGTCGGATGATAGAGTAATCAGTAATATTGCTGGCAAATTGTTTACACAGTATGAGTGAGGAAGTCATGTTGGTATTTCATTATGTGCTACAAACAGAATTTCGACCACAACAATTCAATAATTTTCTCCTTGCTACTGAAACTATTATAGTTAAACAATGAAAAAATAGTGATTGATTTTGAAATAAAATATTGGACAATATTCGTGTATAAATGCATATTGCTCATATATGTATATGTTAGTTAGAGGTAAGAAAAAAACATATACCTGTTAAGTACATTATTTAATTTGAAAAAGCTTCACTAATGCGTCTGTCTACTCTTTTGTTGATCTGATGATTATAAAAATTAATTACACCCAAACTCTAACCAAATGATGTTAGTGTAAAATGATCAAAAGGACATTCTCTCTAGTTATTGTACCAATTAGTATAATTACTTTATTTATAGCATTTGTTGAACATTCTCTTCAGTTAATTTTTTAGTCTGATGTCCCCATTTTAATAAATTGTTCTAATGTTTCTTTTACTCCTTAAAATCCATTTATGTTTATGTTTCCCTTCATTATATATATTTACATACAATAAAAATTAGTAACTTTCTATTCAATATTTTAAAAATATGTAGTTTGACGATTCTTTTAACAATTTTGTAATGTACTACCTTAACATTATTTGAAATAGAAAATATGTTTTTTGAGTTGCTTACAATTTGATTTTTAAAGCATTTGAATGAAACTATCACTCAAACATCTGAAAATTGAGATAAAGTTGTAATTCATCATAGCATTAAACAAAAGTAAGATGGAAAATAGAGAAAGGAGTCACTCTGCCCCAACTCACATGCATTTCTACAAGTCAATACACATTTAATGAAAACCCACATAAACAAATCTCAACAACTACAATAACATAGCTCATCAGCAAAGTGTCACTTGTGTAAGCCCCAAATGAATTGAAAGGTTTAAGTTTATTTGATTGTGTTTGGTCAATGCATTCTTGAAATTTAGCCAGTTGCTTGGGCGGAAATGGGCATGATTGTAGGATATTTTCATTGACTAATTACAATGTACAGCCTGAGTTCATTTTCGAGTTCTGGACCACCAAACTACTCTACAACCTCTGATATCCACTACAGTGGAACGAGAAAACAAGTGAAACTTCAACGAAGGTTATCAACAACCTCGTGAGGTTAAATAGGATTCACAATCTTGAACTTTCCCGGTGAACGAGATGCTAGCACGACGCAGTCTGAGAAAGTTATAGTGGAAGTACCACCAAGAGGTCAAGTCCATGACAATAAAATTGAATTTAACCGTGCAAAAACAGTGTTTCTTCAGTCATGGAGTAGTCTAGAGGTACAAAAAGGAAACCATTAACCTCTGCAACAAAATTATAGCCATCCTCCCTAAGTAATGTAATATTAATCTACAAGTAATTTCTTATAGTACCTTCAATGGAACTGGAACAGCACGAGGCTGTTGCTTCACGGTGGATGTTCGAACTTCATTTACAATTCGAGGTGTCTCAGGTTTAAGATGTGCGGCTACTTTGGCTGCATCAGGATTGCAGAGAAGGTCGATCCATGAATCGTTTACCCAATCCCTTGATGTCCGTAAATCTTCTATTTTAAAAGAAGACAAATCTCCTTCTCCTGTATTAACACATAAGGAAATTAGCAAATTCTTCACAAGCGATACAATATATGTTTCCACTACTACCACTGGTGGAACACTGCAGCACCCGTAATACGATACAGAGAGCCAGGGAGGAAATAAGGGTAGGAAGGGCGACGTACAGCCCGTTCCAGAAAACACTAGAAGTAATAGTAAATCTACCACGTTCCCTGCTTGAAAACACAATCAATTGGATACCTGGGAAATAAACTTGAAAATCACCAGGAGGCTCTTTGTTGATTATAATCCCTTCCCACCATCCATCGTTCCACCATGCATCAACAGCTTGCCCAATATTACATTCTCCAGGAGACACATTAAATGAAGCAAAAGGCCGGACAGTTGTTCTGCCGGCCACACGCATCCCCGACTTGTCAGGCCCTGCCAATCGCCAAGCAGAAACCCATTCCTGCAAAAATCAAAGAGCAGAATGAGTAGGAAAAATTAATCAGCGTTAGTAATTTCACCGTTAGCTATTGAAAATCAACTTCTTACTATCCGTGAAATGTGAAACCCGGAGTAAACTGAAATCAAGTATTTTACCTCAAGATTTCCTTCACCATCTTCATTCTGCAGCTTCTCATATCGCACTTTCAAACGTTTCGACACTCTTCTCGTGATTGTTGCTTTAAACCAGCAACCTCGCAATCCACTGTCTTGAGATAGTATTTCAATTTCATCACCAACTTTTAAATCAAGTCGATGCTCAAAGGAGCTCACTCCTTCCTCAATTTTGTCAACTCTCCCTCTAGAAGGAGGTTTCACGTCATCAATTAAAGTATGTTCTGCATCATCCGCGACAACAGCTCCGTCACCAGTTCCGCATGTCCTCTCTACCGGGGAGGTTACCCATGTAGAAACATTTCCAGAATCTCCACCTCGCATTCGAGAACTAAACCCTACTCTCCGTCTAGTGGACCTCGCAGTCCGTGGTCCACGCCTTATGACATTCCCTGGCTCAGCTTCTTCTTCCTCGTCCATTTCAAGATCTTCACTTCCAGGCTCAGGGTGTGAAAGAGACCAAGTCAATCCTGAAGGAGCTTTCACACCAATATAAGATAAAATTTCTTGTTGCCAGTATCCCTTCACCTCCTGTATACTAAAAGGCTTGATACCTTCACTGCTGTCAAACTGGCGGGAACACAAATGAATGTGCGTAAGAGCGTCCATGTGCAACACTTTGGTACATGACTCGAAGTGATCTGGATTTAGAATTGTTGCTACACCATCCACACATTCAACACTCAAAACCTGAGGAAAAGACGTGTAAAACACCTCTCGAACATGTGGGGCAGGAGGAGGGATTTTGCAAGCTAACTCATTTGTTTTATGGAACCACCGAACTCGCAACTTTTTTTTCATTTTTCTATCTTCATACATGTCCTCAACGTAAGCAATATGGCGTTCCTCTTCGGTCAACACATAAACAAAATCATGCACCTGCAAACAAGGGTCTACAATTAATTGCATTACAATGAAAAATTTAGTAACAATAATCTAGACCCAGTACGTAATTCAGCATATAAGCCTGGACAACGGTGTATTTCACTCAAAATCAAATAAAATAATGTACCGAAATAGTGATGCCGTTGCGAATAAAAGATTGAAAATGCCGGAGGCGTTTGCGCCAGATGCTGGGTCCCCACAAAAATTCCCCTTTTTCGACATTCACTTGACGTCTCACATCACGTTCCTGTATCACCTCAATTAATTTCGTGTTAACACAGACAGTACTTTACACCAATAACACTCTTGACCACGGTCTTAGCACGAAATTCTGCATATGCTTTCGTCACAAACCTAGATCACACACTAATGAAACAAGTCAACAAAAGCAAATGTCCCCCTCCCCCCCCCTAAAGAAAAGAAAGTAGAAGAAAAAAGAAGGATACGTGTTGAAGAACAGTGGCCAGAAACAGGTGAATTGACGTACAAGGTAGCCGCGACTTCTTTCTTCCTGACCACTTTCCAAGGCTTCATCAGTGTCCTCCATCACAGCATCGACTTCAGAAGATGCTGGTTCCGTGCTTGGAGACCCTGTATTCCTAAAAATATTAGGACATTCGCACTAGCACTAGTATAGAAAAATCAATAAATAATATGAAAATACATTAAAAACATTTGTACGTGAAAGCAAGACATGAATTGCAACCAATCTCATACCTTCGACTTATGAAGGGGCCGCCTTTGAAAACGGTCTAAGTTAGACAAACGACAAGGTCTAAATCAAATACCTGAGTTAAGAAATTGTTCAGAAGAAGCTGAGCGAGTTTTTGACAGCAAAGTCTGGAGCCACTCCACAACTTCACGACGAGCCCTCCATTTGAATGCGGAGGTTGTTGTTTTGTCCAGACCAGCAAGAGGTAGGAAGTCATCGCACACGACATACACCATGTGTCGAAGGCTTCGCTCTGTTCCGACCACAGCCAGCGAGCTCTGGCCATGGCGATCCCTCAGGTAGTAGTGAACCACACGACTCCCTCTGTCATGTGAAATAAATTGTTCCTCCCAGTCCACAAAGTGTCTCAGACCTTGCGAAGCCATGGAAATAGTTACACCGAAGCAGAAGACGTAAACACTGCATGAGCCTAGATCCTTCCAATTGAACTATTATGTACACATGTATCCCATAGAGTGATTGTTGGTATCACCAACGGAGCTCTAGAGATTAGGCACTATCTCGTCTTCAAGCCTCCTGATTATGCAATGTCGACTTGATGTTCAACTATGAAGTATAAACTGAGGTTTTCATGAAAACCCTGATAACTATCATGTTGAAGCAGTTCTAACTAAGATCTCCAGCAAATGAGCATTGAAGTGTGGATGATTTCCTTTACCCGACGTTCTATTTGACTCTGAAATCCAAGAATTTCACGAATGTAATCAAAAAGGAATGTACTCTTTCATCCCAAAACATCTTTCCCTGCATTGAGGTCAACAGACGACATGATAATCAGTACCAAGGAAGATAGAATCATGAAGAAGAGACTAACAAAATTAAGGAAATGCGTGAAGCTTAATAAAATATTTTACATTATCTTCAACGAAACGATCCTATCAAACACTAAAAGGATGCAGCAGAAAGAACAATGTAATGTAACCCATCAAGCACGAGAGTGAGAGTCGAGCAAAAAGATTACCCCGACAAAAGCGAAGAATATGAAATAAAGAGACAGAGAAAAAGACTAAACTGAAACATACTGCAAGCAGTTAAAATTCGTGTAAGTCGGAAATTGTGCTAAATATGGTAAGTAATATGTTAAGCGCTGGTCACAAACTTCCGATTCATACACATAGATAAAAGCTAATAAAATACATTGTAAACAATTATAAGTAATAAATAGTATAGAGAACTTCATAATGTCATCACGGCCAAGAATCCGCAATTACTGATTAACAAACGGATGTTTTTCATTACTACATAAAAGAGAAAGAGATGCGAGAGGACAATAAAAATATATCAGAGAAAATAAATTAAAATAATCAATAATAATAATAATGATCGAGCACAATCCACTGTAGATACAGAATGGACGCTTAAGACGGATCTCCAAAACCATCCTCCTTCAGAGAAAATTTGTCATCATGGTCATCCACAATTGCAACAAGACAACCAAGAAAATCTCCGGTCCCAGTGGGGCATACAAGGGCTCACTTCGAAAGACCTAAACCATCAATAAGACGATTCGCGGCAACACTAGTTTGGATAACGAAGCATGTTTTTACTCCAATAAAAATAATAATAATAATAAATAAATAAATAAATAAAAACGCACACACACACCTCAAACGAAAAGGTTCAGTTCGACAATCAAATAACAAAGCAAGAGAAACATAGACTTGCAATGAGGACACACACTTCTGCATCGATCACATACTGCAGAACCAGTTCCACAAAAAACTTATAAAGTCGACATTTTAATCAATGTCTAGTTAAACAAGTCCGTCGGGGAATACAAGATAACACTTAATAAAGGCACGCACTGTAAGTGTAAAATAACGAAAAGACCTGATCACTTCTACAAACTGCAACAAAGCAGATGTGCAGAAGCATTCCATAACTTGCAAACCAACAGAAAAATCAATCACTTCGGGCAGAGTGTTCCTACACAACCTAAAAACATAAAATCGTATAATATTGTTAAATTGAAAAACGAATGGTTTCTGCCACTGCGAAGCTTTGAAAATGGTAAGTTGGTTGAAAATTCTGACAACGTACAACACAAAGACCATTGCCAGATTTTCAGAAGCCAACATACGGGATGCGAAATGGTTGGTAATGACCGTGCCATACAATCATAGTTCAAGGCTGGTAGAAATACCTGCAAACAGTCCTAGGGAACCCGCAACTAAGCGCGAGCAGGCCAGCAAGCCCCAATGCTAGTTCAATTTTCTGAGGCGACACAACCACGTCTCTTCTGCTCATCTTCCTTTCCCGCACAACCATGTCGATAGGTTTGCAACGAAACTTCCCACACCACGCCACGCCACGTCTCCAAGTGCCCTCAAAAGCCTCGACTTCGGAGTGCGCACTCAAAGGCATCCGGTGAAGACATAATTCATCTAAAACATTCTCCTCACCACAATGCAAGCAACGGCTACACTACCGCGTCAAACATGGCTATCATCGCGGTGAACGCGTCATTGCCACCTTGATCCTCCCCCTCAATCTCTGGTTCTCTGACGATTCCTTAAGCGGCAGTACTACATCACTCGCAACCTCACACCCGTCCGCCAGCACGGACCAAAACTAAAATCGTCTAAAACGTCCCCGCGCGCAACGTACCACCTCCACCACCCCAGTCACTGCGATCCTTCACAGTGGCTAACCACCTCTCTCACTACACATCCCCTGCCCCCAAACCTACTCTCAGCTCCCTCCGCCAACCGCCAACCGCCACCCCCGATATATATATATGTATATATATATTGAGAGAGAGAGAGAGAGAGAGAGAGAGAGAGATCACCCGTAAAAGCCTAACCTCCGATTCCGTTTCGTCTCTAGAGCCCCCGCCCCTTCCTCACCGGCTCACACAACACTTCGCCCCCACCAGGCCCTCCTCCACCTGACCATGCTCAGCGACAATCCACCACCACAGAACCACAACCCGACTTCTCCCCCCGCCCGCCCGCTCGACCTCCCTCCCTGCCTGCTCCACCTACTACCCTCCTCCACTCTCACCACATCATTATCCTGCGCCACTCTCACCTCATCATTATCCTGCGACCAAGGGAGCTCAGAAGAGGGAAAAGTGTCTTCGCAGGAGAAGTACCCCCAAAGGAGGAGGAGGAGTCCAGCCCCCTCGCGACGAGGGGCGAGGTGTGGAGGAGTGAGGCAGGAGGGAGGAGAAAACAGAGCTCCCAAGCGAGCGAGCGAGGCCCCGGTTTGCAGCAGCGGAATGGGAATGAGAGTGGGGAAGGAGGGAGGTGGGGGGGGGGGGAACACAATGCTGCTGGAGGAGGAGGGCGGGGTCTGTTCACATACAAATGCAGCCCTAGTCAGTGAGTCGCACAAGAAAGAGGAGAGACGAAGAAGAAGAAAGAAATGAATGAGACAGTCCTAATGGGGCTACTCTAGTCTACTCCAGTCTAGTCTGCCTTGCCCTCCTCTCCTCACAGGGTCTGACCACGCACCCCCCCCACCTTTCCTATGCTGCTTCCGCCCTGTTTCTGACATCCAACAACAACCACGCGGGGAACCACGCCTCCCTCCCCCCCCCCTCCCCCTGCCTCGTCACTGGGCTGCAGCACCTGCATCACGAAGCACAGTTGCCGACCCCGTTACGGTGTCCATGGTGCGCACACATTCGTGTGCACTACCGACCCGCTTCCTGGTTCCGTACTTGGTTTCGCGCGTCGTTGGGGCACGGTGATGAGAGCCGAATGAGAGATGCTGATGCCACGCTGGGCCGCTGGATTAGGTTCCTCGTCCACGTCCAGTGTAGGACCCCCCACCACCACCTCCCACACTTGGGTTCATTATTTGTTGCCCTTGGCCCCCCTTTTGTGCCTTCCTATTCTGGGTTTCATGAATAATAAATAAATAATGAATAATAATAATAATAATAATAATAATAATGTCATACACACATACATTCCTTCCGTCTCCTTGGGATTCATCCCCCCTCCCTCTTGTGAGTAATAATACTACATGTTGTTGTTGTTGTTGTTGTTGCGTTGTTCTCAATTTTCTAAACTCTCTTGGTTGTTGATAATACATTTTGTACATGATGATATAACAACAAATGTATAGTCCAAAGTTCTATAACGTCCAAGAGCTTCTTCTTCTTCTTCTTCTTCTTGTTTCGTTTTTTATTTTTATTTTTCTAATATTTTATACATACATATATAATATATAATATTCATTAAAGTAAAATAAAAAGTAAATATTCCAAATCAGAACTTAGACCACAATTCAATGTAAATTTTTTCACACCAAGCAAACAAACTTCTCAAATTCGATTCTTTTTTCAGTATTTATTACAAGTCGTACAAACATTTTAAAAATAAATTAACATTTTATAATTGACTTAAAATTGTAAATTTACTCCAATTTATGTATACTTCATGATTATGATCATTATTATTATGTAATAATTTGTTGAAATTATGTATAAAATAATAATTTCTTAATTATGTATTAAAGTTTCACTGCTTGTACTGTTACATTTTTCTATTTACTGAATTCAAAAAACTAATTCAAAATTACATTTAGCAGAATAATGTGACAATAATATCTAAATCTTTTAAATGGCACCTCTAACTCCTAAAAATAATCATCTTTTCTCAAGCCACACATGACACTTCTGTCTTTGTTATCCTTTCAAACATACTCATAAATGTTTGTAATTTATTGGTTTTTGTTTTAAAATCTTGGTTACCTTCTTCAAGAGTAAAAATATATCTTCTACCTCTTCAAAGTATTATTTTTCTCTTTTTTACACTATATGTACTTATTTGTTTGTTTGTTAGTTTGTTTTTGTAATATCATTGCTAATATTTTTAAACCTAAGTATGTATATTGAAGAAATTGATCAAATCATTGAATACCTAATGAATAAACGAATTAGTTGACTACCATATAATGTAATTAAAAAATGCATTAGATTGATTAAAGTAATGAAAAATAAATAGTTTAAAAAATTCATGGTTTAATACATGATTAATGCAAAAAATATTCAGAATCTCATTACAAGATAATAGAAATATTTATTTATATATATAGGCATTATTCTTTTTATCAATTACACATTAAGAATTAACAATGAATCTAAAATTCTAATGTTTTTATAGTGCAAGTTGTACCTTGAAAAACAAGAATAAAATTCGACATTATTGGGGATCTGGATATCTTGCATAAATATTAATTGCATTGGAAGAAATAAAATTGAATAAAGAAGTATATTAGCTTACATAAATGTAGACATATTATTGAGAGAAAATAATTATACTAAATTTAAATAAATTATTAGTAGTTATATGGAACATAAGAAAACTTACTAATAAAATTTTAGCATGTAAAATTTTTATTCAATAAAACTAATAGAGTTTTATAGTTCATTTAATTAGATTGTGACAAAGATACATTAAATTGACTACATTTTTAGAATTTTATAGAGAAAAATACATTTTTAAAATAATTTAGTAAGATGTAAATAATTGTATGTGTATTCAATTGCTCAAAATAAAATATATGATAAACTAAAATATGACTTATAGAAAGATTTATAAAGCCATCAATATTCTGAGTTGTTTTGAAAACAATTGTGCATGAAAATCTTTTTTATAATTCCAAAAAGATGCCAAATCTCATAAAATTTATTGTATGAAGGATTACTCTCCTTCATTATATTTGTGGTAAAGAGCACCATTATGGAAGATGGTTTGTATTGTACTTCTTGGGACTCCAACAAGCCTTAAAAATTCGGATTAATATGTCATTTAATCTTGGTTTTGTCAAATTGTTTTCCTAATTGGTGACTATATTGTAAAAATGAAAATACATATATGTAAGATCTTCCTTGCTAATCAAAAACTTTAAAAGAGTGGTGCATGTGTTGCAATGTTGCAAGACAACCATCAAGGGCCTTACAACAAGCTTTTAAATAATAACTCGATGTTGTTCTACAATATTTTGAGGCACATTTCCACATGTTCTTAAAATGTTGTGTTTGACTTTTCTTGATTAGAGTATACAATCAGAAAGTTTACAACATAAAAATATAACTTCTACTTTTAAATGTATATACAGAATAAATGTTTTTTGTTTTGTGGGGACAAAATGAATACAACATTTGAAATATAACATGGTAATGCTGCAATGTAATATTGTATTTGTGTTCTCCAAGATGATCATGAAAAATACCTTCATTCTGAACAGGTTGATTGAATTTATTGTAATAATATTTAAAATAATTAGGGTTGCGAAGTAAGAATTATAATATGGTTTGATATTTTGAAACTAAAATTAAAAAATAAATAAATAAAATAGAATAAAAACTTCTTGTTGCAAAAACTGTCAAATTATATATATTTTCTTTGATATTTTGTTTTCTTTTTCTTTTTCAAAAAGAAAAAACAGTGAAACTGAGAATGTTTGGTAAACTTTGTTTTTGAAAAACAATTCTAATTCGTAAACGAATTAAGAGAATGTTTTTTACTATTTGCATATTTAGCTATCTAATAATTTAAAAATAAAAATAGATTAACATGGGATTTTAAAGTCGTGTTGAATCGTTTTCACCATTTATGTGTTTTGTTCTAATTGGAAGTCTTCTAGCGTTTACTTGTTTATGTTTTATTTTATTTCATTTTTTTCAAAATTACTGCTTCCAATCATTCACCACATAATTTTTTAATCTCAAATTTTTTAACAAACAATTTTGATATCGAAGATTGAAAAGGCTGGTTCTATGAGCCACTTCAAATTGTATAATCATAATGAAAATGTGTAGTGCTTTCACAATTCAATCTTTCTGGATCTATACTGTTTCCATAATTCTTTTATTTTACACACATGAATTTTGATAAGGATTGGTTCAACACAATATTTACTTGCTACTTTTTTATTTACTAGAAAACAAAAAATTACACAATGTTTCAATTTCATGTTGATTTTTTGAATGAGAATTGTGATGAGAATCAATAAATGTGTTAAGTTTATGTTTTTGTTTTTGCTTTGTTTTGCTTTTTTGTTTCTGTATTACAATTAAAAATTTGGAAAGCAAGTCATGCACAGTCCCAAATAAATATCTCAATAATAGATTATAATTTAAAACAAGTGTTAAAAAAATGTCGAATCAAGTTACATCACAATATCATTTTAAATTGGTACTTCAACTTGCAGATATATCTTTTTAACTTATAATTTTGTTATTTTTCCAAAACCGTAATAAGAAAAAAGAAAAAAGAAAAATAAAAAGAGGTTGTGTAGAAATGTTATAATTTATTAATTATGATAATGTAATCATTTTAAAATATCATTGTCAAAAATATTTGTACTTTTATAATAATGCAATGTATCTTATTATCAAATTCAACTTATATTTGGTTTGTATTTTTTAATTATTTTTTACTTTTTAATTAAAATACACAAATGTGTATATCGTTCATGTAAACACATATGCACATATATATATATATATATATATATATATAAGTGTTGCAAATCATCCAATGTTAAGAAGATAGAATAATACATTTGAGTATATCAATTTTTTTACTAATTTTTACATTTTAGTTATTGGATTTTTCTATTTGGCAAAAAGTTAAGTAAAATTGCTATGTGATTTTGTAACTTCACATTGTTTAATGCCTAGTATTAGTTTATAGAATTAAAATGTAATTTACATAAGATTTGGGCTTTTATCAATTAAAAATGAAATTTTATAATAAAATTTTAACTTTATTCTTTCACTATTTAAAAAAAATTCTTTATTTTTTAAAAAATACAACTAGTATATATATATATATATATATCTCTCTCTCTCTCTCTCTATATATATATATATATATACATTTCAAATTGAAGTAATCTTAACTTTTAAAAGATCTCAAGAAATGAAAATTATTATTTCTAACAGTTAAAAATGATTGTCATTATTTTGTAGATATTATGAGTTTTTATTTATTTATTTTAAGCTATGATAAGAAATCTGATGATTTTTGTTGTTTTATAATTTATGTTCTTTTGATAATATCAAGCAAATAAAACATGTTTAAAATCAATACTTTGTGATATAACATTGTCATATCACATGAGTTTCTGACATTATCGGTTTTCATAAATTTGTTACGATTAAAGCTATAAACTTTATTTTAATATAGTTCGTTTAATATACATATATTTTGAATTTAATATTTATGAAAAAATGGAGAACTTTAGACAAGACTATTTAATTTTGTATATGAAAAAAATAAATAGTGAACATGAATGATAGTTATTTAGGTACCTTGATTTTAATCTTTCAAAACCACAATATTGATAATGCATTAGTTAGAACTTTAATTTTTTTTAAAAAAGGAAAATGAGATAGCAACTTTTTAAAATAAAGAAATTGTAAATTATATTTTTAATTTAGCACATTAGATAAATATAGTGACAACATGGTTATTTCTACTGAATCCATTAGAAATGAACACAAAAAAATGGACATTGTACGCAAGTATAAATTAAAAGTATTTTAAGTATTACAAATAACCAAAATATGATTCTCTTACAATTTCAATGATTTGAGGACGCCATGGCTATGAAAACTGGAGGACGTAATTTCCCATGAACATTGAAACAAAAAGCATGTGCTATACAGATACATTTAAAATTCAAATTAATGAATATATATATATATATATATATAGATGTGTGTGTGTGTGTGTGTGAGTTTTAAAAATTAGGGTTCTGTGTGACTCATTTGTGATACTTGGACTTACAGAAAGGCACACAAAAATGAGAATTATTAAAAACACGAACCCCATGCGACCCTTTTTCCATGAACCCAATAAATAAATTGGATAACAAAATAAAATAAAATAAATACACCCACTAACTCACTCCAAACAAATACCATCGAGCACCCCAACCACTTTAAAGTCAATGTCAAAAAAACGAAAAGGATCCAGGAGATGAAAGGGACGAAGAGCGACGAATGTCGAACGAAGAACGACGAACGAAAAACAAAGAGAGACGAACGTAGAACGAAGAGCGTCGTCGTGGTCGTCGCTTCTAGAACAACGACGACGACGATGACGACAAGGAGGAAAATGGTGATGCTGGTGCTGGTGGTGAAGCTGGTGAAGCTGCATGCGGGGATTTATTAACCGTCTTCATGCATCTCATCATCCATCGCGTTAGGGTTTCCCGGCATTCACCCTCTCCTTCTCTCCCTGCTTGTACTCTTGTTGTCCTCACTTCCTGTGCCCGCACTCGCCGAGGAAGAGCTCGGCGTTGAAGGATATTACGAACTAGTCGCAGTTGGATTGACGTCATTTTGTCGTAATTCTCCGGTTTCGAAAGAGGCTTTAGTTTGTAAAAGAATCAGACGGTGTGACGCAGCCATGGTGTTGTGGGAGCTCACGCTTGCCACTGCCTACGTGCTGGGATTGCCGAGAACCTATCGGCTTGCGTTGCGGTTGCAGCGACGCTTGATTTCTCCCAAGTACCCGAAGCTGCGCGGTTTTGTCTACAGGTACGGTAGGCTGAGAGCCGTGTCTCTTTTTTCGCTTCGTTTGCGTCTCCCCGATCCCGCGCTGGGGCTGTCACTTTGAGATTTTTTTCCCGTTTGGCGCCCTATCGCTGTTGATAGTCACGAGAATTGCAGTCTTGTTGCTGTTCTTCAGAGTTGATGAGCAGACCTCCCTAGCTAATTTTTGGTCTTGATATTTGCATTTGGAGTGCGAATTCAATTCTTGTAGCTAGGTGGTGGATAACAGCTTTGATACGAATCCTAGTTGTGAATGGTTATGCCTCGCTGTCAGGGGGGCCATGACATCATATTTTTATTTCTCGAACTCCCTTATTATTCGCCCCTTTTTTTTTTTTTTTTTTTTCAAAGGTCGAATGTGGAGGAAAAAGATCTTAGAAAATTAGGCAATCTCACTTTAGACTTGCCGATGTTGAATTGTGGAGAAGGATTAGGAGCAACCTAACTGACATACGGATGCTGAGCGAGAACTTTGGTTGTACACAGAATGAGCTTGAAATTTCAGCTCCAATGAGTTGTACACGGAATTAGATTCAAGGGTACCATTTGAACTGATTGTAATCTTTCCAAACACGATGAATCACTCTCGTCGAACATGATCTCCTCGATCACATGTTCCTGCGCAACTGGGAAGATGTTTATTGGATTCGCTAGGATAAATTTGCATGGGTATTCTTCAAGATCACTCAGGAGGGAATCGCATTCATGATCATGTGGGACGAAATCTCAACGACCTCACGTATGGTCATGAAAAGTATCAGGAAACCTCTCTAGCAGTCCTTTAAAATATTCTTCTTAAATTGTCACTGTCTCCAATTATCTACTGTTTTCAACCTGTTCTATTACCCGAGTTACTTCGGGGTTTGTTTTCTTGTCGGCGCATACAATGAATAGCTCCATTTGCTGTTATTTGAGCTAATTGCTGGAGTTCCAATTCTAAGCAACAATTGAATAGAATCTTGCGTAGCTCACTGACGAGGATTCTGGTCGGGTGCTGTTTGCAGGCGCACGAAGGCTGTCTTTACAGTAGCTCTCAACGTGCACAAGGAGGTTCAACGACGAGATATCTCTGTAGGACGAAATATCGGCAATCGTATCTTGCGGTTCCTTGATCGTATGCGTCCACAGGCCAATATTAGAGGCTCAGAACCTACCCCTGAAGGATCTTCTGTTTCCAAAAAACTTGTTCGAAATAACAGAGCCAAGTCGGATGTAAAGCAGGAAAATTCAGCCAACAAAAGCGACCAGCAGAATCCTCCTTACTCTGCCTACTTGGGCGTTCAATTTGGCAATTCTCTCCGAAGCCGGTTTGGTGATAGGTTGGGCAGGCTCTCATCTAAAACAAGACCTCAATCCATCCCAGTGATTGCCATGGGGTTATGGTGGCAGCCGGTTCGTCAGAATATTGCGGTTGCTTTGACGAGAGGGACCCCAGCAACTCAAAGGTGGAGTTCAGATTATGCAATGCTACCTAGGGCACCTTTAGCTCACAGCGCGTTTGCAAGGGGTGTGATGCGGGAGGATATCGCTGCTATGATTCGAAGACCACTTTAAACATGTTGCAACTAAGGTCTTTGTGTATAAGATTCTGTCCTCTTGTTTCAGAACTTGCAGTGCTTGCTGGAAGACGTTGGCAGCAGGGTCAAAGGGATACAACCAGATTCCATGATACCGCGTCAGATTTAAGTGAGTTATAGAGAAGCGGGTCTTGAGTGGGGAGGGATTAGAGCCTACCGAATAGCAGATTGATATGAGGACTATGTGGTGCTCGTACAGTAAAAGAAAGACTACACTGTCTTTTAGGACGCCAAGGTGTTTCAGGGCTTTGGCACATGAAGCGTACACATCATCGGCTGCACTCTTGGAAGGTCATGCTTATTAGCTATCGGTGAAGGGGTAACTACAAGCCCCTCTAGTTTGCTGGAGAAAGTAGACAGTACTTCCACAGGAGCTATTCTTTTCAACTGAAATATCGTTGATTCACTGCCTGTGATTTTGTTTTCCAAAAACTAGCTGTATAGTTTTCTGTGCGTGCAGTTTAGTCTGGTCGTCGCTAGTTCAATCGCCAAATAAGAGTTGAGAATGGTCTTATCTACTTCATGGAAACTATGTTGTGTCGTGCATTGTGATATTGCACAACTAGAAACAGTAAAGACCTTAGTTTTTCTTTTCTTTTTTCTTCGTGTCTTATTGAGTTTCTTTCATTCCTTGGCCATGTGCTTGAAGAGGATCCTCCGGTTGTGCACTTCAAACTGGAAGTTGAAATCAATGAAGTGGATAATTTGTTCTTTACATTGGTAAGACTTTTTTTAGTTGGTTTTAAGGCTTTTATTGTAGATGTTCTTAGGCTGAATTTAGGAAACCAAATACCTTAAACATATCGAAATCTGTTAGAGTCAAATATATTTAATTTAAATTTGCATTCTTGTTCTTGAGTTTAAACTTGATGATTTTATGATCATCTTTGTCATACCCAAAAACAAACACGAACCTTGGTAGCCAGAACAGGACATGTTATGTAGGAAAATTATCTATTAATTTGTAAATGATATTTAAAAGTTCGATCCATTCTAAGTCTATTTCATTTGATTTCATCTTCGACGGAATTTTAAATGTCACTACTTTTTACTTATAAACTAATAATAAAAACCACTGCATTCACTAAAACAAATAGCCCAGTTGATTGAAAACTTCAAGATTGACAGTCGAAGAATCGAACCGATTGTTGTTTTGTTTTCAACGAAAAACCACCAAAAAAGAAAAAAGAAAACAAAAAACAAATAAGAACTGTAGCCCAATATTTATTTCAAGTAATCCATCCTTTGAAAATCATGGTAATCATGTGTTATATTTTCACCTACACATACATCACTAAACTTCGATCTTTACAATCCTCTACATGTCCTCCAGAAACAACAATTGAAACACTGAATCGCCAGAAATGAAAAGTAGAAATCCAAACACAAGCAAATGTTTGTTTACATACAAACACCACTTCATTCTTCGGATAACACCAATCGACCTTTCAACAACGACTTATTGGGGCAAAGAAACAATTGATAGAAAAAACATATTGCAAAAACTATCACCATTACAAGACCATTGGCCCCCATTGTTTCAATCCGCACAGTGCCGGATGTGCCGAGTACTCCTAAACAAAGCAGCTCACAATGCACAGCAACAGGCCTGGATTATCAGCATCGCCACCGCCTTCGCCAATTGTAAAAGAAGAAGTGCATGAGAATCCAAACACTGTGATGCGCTACATGCTGGAACTCTGACTTACGCTGCTTTGCATGTCGACAAGTCTTCATCTCGGTGACCCACATGAGCAGGATATTCTTCACGGTTGTATGGGCTTTCTTGGTACACACACTCTGGGTTTCTACACTTGTGAATTTCTGTTGTTGTTGTTTTTGATGATGATGGTGGAGGTGGTGGGGAAGTATATTTTTTCCCCACTGGATCAGATCCGCCACCCCGGAGCTGGCTTGCTTGCAGGGCGCAGCAGCGAGAGCCTCCCGGCGGAGGAGCATCCGACATCTCGACGAGATCCATCCAAGTAGGCGTGACTGTTGTTGTTGTTGTTGTTGTTGTTGCGATAGACGCCGCAGTCACTGGGCCTAGTGCAACTGCTGCTGCTGGGGAATTCCTCGACGCCACCGACAATGCGGTCGGGGTCGCCGTTAGCGCCGTCGGAGAGCCAGCTCCGCGTAGTCGGTGACGAGGAGGAGGGAGGATCTGCTGACAACGCCGCCGACTCCGGAGGATCCCGGATGTAGAAGAGAATGTAGGCCTTCTGCTCTAGAACGGTTTTCTCGCTGACTTGTCTCACCTGCGATGCCCGATGCATGCAAGTTTGGTTATTACGAGCGGCCGATCCCACACGGATGATGCTTGTCAGATCTAGAACTTGTCAGTATTGCTTTTTAGTGTTGCTTCTCGTTACGCTCGATGTGGGGGCGGCGTGATCCTCCGCCTCTTCAGTGGCAACACGAAGTGCAGAAACTTTGAGGCTCGTTCTCTACCTCACGTTGTTAAGACGATGTTTTCTTGAGGGACTCCATTGTAAGATGAAAAGGAAAAGTAATTTTGTGATTCTAATGTAAATCAAGGTACTGCATTTTAAATTTTTTATGGTTTTTTTATGGTTTTTATGGTTTTTTTTAAATTTTTTTTTGTTAGTGAATAAATATGATCTAACAGTTTCTGAAAAGATTTTATGCATCTGAACCCCTTGTGAATGTGGTTCACAAGTATGGAATGTAAAATGCATAAAAAACCTTTAATTTGATGTTTGCTCACAAACAGTTGCAATAACAAAGAATACGTTAGTTCGGTAAATTTTGAAAAAAGGTATTCCAATACAGTTAGCTCACACTTTTCATTTCGTCATATATATATTGTAAATATCACTCAATCAACAATAATTGCAGACGATTCAATTGAAGTTGAAACTCAAACACAACCTTTTACAACACAGCAAGGCATGCGAAGAATCTGTCAGGCACGTACGATTGAAGCGAGAGAGCACAAAATTAGACAAGCAAACAACGTTTGCATTAAATTTTGTCAATGCATTGACAGAGAACCATACGCATAAAAAGAAAAAAATAAACAAACATTTTTTTAAAATAAAAGATAAAAATAGCAAAATGAAACACTGGCACATCTCCTTGTGCATCAAGACTCAAGCAAAACGACCCACTACAGTCAAATCTCATGAGAAGCAGAAGAAGGAAGGAAGGAAGGAAGGAACATACCCGACTATCATCGAGGTTGTGCCACAAGCCTCCGGAAGTCCGCACAAAACAGTAGTAGTGGCCAGAATGAGTGGACCAGCCCGCATGGACGAGCACCGCATACAGTGAGTAATTGGCGTCGGAGTCCTGAAACGCATGGACTCAGAAGATTCTGATCAGTCACATCGTCCCTCCTTCCACCGTCTTCTCCATTCGAGAGAAATGCAAGCAAAAGGGAGAGGGAGGGAGAGATGAGCGACCACCCACCTCAGGATTGCTAATATAAGGTCGCATGGCCAACGTGCGCCCGAAGTCGATCTTCTTATCGATCTTCCCACCGGAGCTGCTCCCAGAGGCGCTGAAGCGCTTGAACTGGATAGTGAGGACGATGGGGGACTTGTCGATGGTGAATTGCTTGAGAGCGCACACTTTCTGCTTGCAAGTTGCGCAGTGGTACTGATTGTCCCCTTCCAGCGCCTCCACCGCCGTGAATCGATTCAAGGCCTTGGTGAGGGAGTCTGCCCTCACAATCTCCAGGCTCAGGTCCAGCAGCGGATCATATGTGTTGGAGCATGTTGAACACACCGTGCACTTCACCTGCGCATGCACTTCGCACCATGTACCCCCTCCCCCATTCAGAACCCTGCAAACCCCACATGCACCCAAGCACACACGCTAGTGAACCCGATGTTGCAGTTACAGTTGCAGAGCTTGTTTACTTGGCTCCGTAATTGGCCGCCGAACATTTGCTGGATGAGGCTGGGGTGTTGCGGCGAAGAGGATGATGACGATGATGAGCTTTGTGCTCCTGCTCCTCTTACTCCTCTTTCTCCTCTTCCTGCACTTGTGCATGAGTTGTCTAATGACTCAATTAAGTAGCGCATGTACTCATGGGCGTCTTCTTGCCTCCATGGCCGAAAGCTCTTTGAGATACCTGCCCAATTGAGCCCCCAAAACACACACATTCTCTCGTTCAACCACATGAAGAATGACAAAAAAGAAAAAAGAAAATTATAGGGACTTGCATTGCATTTGCCTGCATGTCACAATCTACACCCAAAATCACACTTTTACACATGTACTTGAACATACTTTCTTTTTTGATAATGAAATTAAGAATTGAGTGACTGCAAAGAATGTGAAAGAGTGGTGGGGAGAGAGAGAGGGGGGTGGTGGGTGTGTGAGACTGAATACATCTCAAGTTCTTCACAATGTATGTTGGTGATATTACACCTCCTGGTGATGCCAATGCTTGTCTAATGTGCTCTTGCAATGCACACATTGCACAAAATCCTCCCTCTTGGCCTTGATTGTCATCACATCCATCATCAATGTTGTCAATTTTCTCTTTTCCAAAGTTTGAAATGTTTCAGTTTTAGGGTTTTGATTAGAGAATTTGATTGGTGATTGTAGATTGCAAATGCAAACAATGTGTGGGATTGATGTGATTTTACTAATGGCTTTGAGCTTCTATTAAGAGATTTATTATGTAGCACAGAGAACAAGCATTGATTTGGATTTTAGGGTCTGCTTAGGTGTAGATTCCAAACTATATTTTTTCAACATACAGGTACAAAAGAAAATATACATGATAATGGTTGGTAAATTACAATTGCATAATTTATTTTAGAATCACTTGTGTATTTGTGTTATTTTTGTTATTATTATTATTATTATTATTTATCTTCTTAATAGGTCAGAAGAAAATAGAAGAGCTATTTAACTTACAAATAGTAGTGTGTTGCCCAGTTTCCAAATAAGCAGCCAATGGAGGAGTGTAAGTTAAACATTGCAACACAGAATTCAAAAAACAAGTGTTGCCCAAATTTGATAAACCTGCTCCCTGGAAAATATTGTCATTTTATTACATGTAACTGTTATATAAACATCTGTATATATATATATATATATATAAGAAAAGAAAGCCGAGTTACTTAAATTTATATTCATATTTTTGTGTTTTGTTTTGTTTTGTTTTTTTTTTTAATATGTTTAATTATATAATAGCTTTTACAGATTTTTTTGAGAAAATGGAAGAATATTGTACCACTCTTAATAGAGGTGCTCGAACACATAGTTCTTGGCTTGATGTTGATGATGATGATGGTGATGGATTACCATGCCAACTATTAATGTTGTTGTTGTTGTGTAAATTGGCCATTCCAACAGTTACATATAAAAGATTCAACTGATTTTTGCAAAGAAATTACTTTCAATCCAACATTTATTTCTTGTATTACTATCACTGTTGCCATTAAAGAAAACGATTTTCAATTCTATTTAATAAATTCATTTGCATTTAGGTTTTTCTAAATGAATAGCTCGTATGAAGAAATCTAAAACTTAAAATATAACATTCTATTGGAATCAAAAATATATAAGAATATAAGTTTGCATGAAATTGTAAATTTATATTTATATGAGTGTAATAATCAACTATAACAATGTTGGATGATGTTTTGAACTTGTATCAAAAACATTATAATACCTTAAGTTTTACTTATGATGTATGTATGTTTGAATTTATGCCATTCTTTTCTCATTAATATGCATTTTCGGAATTTTTAGAAACGAGTTAACAAAAATCCATTACATAACATACTTTAAATAAAAAGGAGTGGTTTTAATTAAAAGATACAAAAATTAAAATTTGCATCTTGTTGTGTATTCCATCGTCCATCATACAAACCAAAACATTGTGGTTAGTAATGATGAGGAAAACGCGGAATCTCAAAGTGTCAGAAGAGTACACGGAGCATTAACACACACCAATACAGTACATATATGACTACAATACAACATACGACTAGTAGTATACAATTCGCAAAGTGAGGCGCGATGGACGCTGGTGCCGCGCCACGGCAGGGGCGGCGGCATGCACCGCCAGGGTGGGGGGTAGGCCGCGGCCGCACCCGGGCGGCAGACAGCGGCAGTCAGGCAGTCAGGCAGGAAGGCAATGACGCAGGGAGGCCAGCGTCGTCGATGATATAATATGTGCAGATATCTCTATATAATAATGTAACTATATATATATGTATATATGAGACTCTTACCAGTCGCCATGAGACGCTGGGTTTTGCTAATGTAAGTGGGGGGGGGGGGATTGTACACAGGTGCTGCTCATATTGCAGTAAGAAAGAAAAGCCTCCTCCTGCTGCTGCTCCTGCTTCTTTGAATAAGAAGAGTGATAATAATAGTAATTATAATGAATACATAATTAATTAGTGAAATGTGAAGAAGAAGAAGAAGAAGAAGAATCCCCCTCTTCTCACTCCTCTATTTTCTCTTCTCTCTGTTTTCTCTATTCTTCACTTCTCTTGTCTTCTCTTATTCTGCTGCTGGGCCATTTCTACTTCTACTTCTTCTTGTGTGTGGTATTAGCAGCATCAGCATCATCATCATCCATGTTTTTGCTGTACAATAACACAATCCCTGTGAGATTATCAGAGCCTCCTCCTTTTCTACCTATTCCTCTTCCTCCTCCGCCCTGCTGCTGCTGGCTCCACTTGCTGATGCTGCTCCTCTTCCTTCCTTCCTTGCTTCCTTTCTCTTCCTGCCCTTGTTGAGCCTTTCCTTCCCCCTCCACTTCTCCTCACTACCTCTGGTGTTGCTGCTGCTGCTGCTGCTTGCTGGGCTCTTTCCCTCCCTTCGTGGCGTGTCTTGCTTGCGCAGCTTGTAGGCAGTACTCGCGTAGGTAGGGTTTTGCGTTGTTTGCCGTGTAGTGTGTGGTGCTTCGTTAGTTTCTTCACTTGGGTCCTTTGTGTTTTTTTGTCTTCTTCATTTTTGTGGGTGTTGTCACATTTTCCATTTCGAAGTCTCGTGATGTGCTCCGGCGGTGGTTGCTGATGTTGTGATGGATTGCGTTGGATACACTCTTAGTCTCGTTTATTATTATTATTATTATTATTTTCCAATGTTGTTCATCTGAATACTTTTAATAATGAGGTAAGTGTTGGTTTTTAGTGAATCTGGAGGAAACAAGATTGAGTGGTGTAGTTCGCTTCTCGTGTAGCTATAATGTGAAAGGGTACTTTTGGTTGTTGGTTTTTCGGGGACATTTGGAAATACAGCATGATTTTTTTCTGAGAATTAAACGGTTCGCTATGTTGAGAAAAAGGAAGTAGAAGGTGGCTGATTTCGAGCCGATTTACGATATGTTTTAATCGAATGGAGTTGGGAGGACGTGTGCACGTGTGCGATGAGGTGCTGCAGTGCAATTGTATAACAATGCCAGAAAGATGGGTTTAATTAGTTTTCTCCATTCTGTCTCTAGGTTTTTGGGACCGATTATGGCTTGAGGTTTTACTTCACAGTGCGAGCGATGTCAAGCACTTAAAATTTTCATGAAGCACCTGATCGGTAAGTCTTACGCACAGAGAGTTGCACCCAATGAACTGAAGGGAGATTTTAGGTAGAGTGCTGCTGCGATGATGCCAATGGAGTTCGTTGGTTTTCTTATGCTCAGTTGTATTCTTGAATATGTCCTTCGTGCTGAGTGTTTTTCTTAACTTTAGGTTTTATACTGCAATATAAGAAGCGGCGTTGGATTTCGAATCAACACTTCATATTCTTACACGTTAGACGTGCTATGTAATGCTAAATTCTCTAAAACCTGTCTCACTAGCATTTTAAACTTTTTGCTGTCGGAATGTGTGTTTCCTCAGGTGCAAAGAGATCGCGGCAGCATCCCTTACGCTCCTAGAATGCAGTGTGGGTCTTGGTCCACTTCCTTAGCCTCGTCCTAATTCAATGCCCTAACACATGGCACGTTCTTATCGGCGACTCTTGAAGAATTTTGGTCACTCCCATTCATCACGGTTTACAAACTGTCTACTTTTAGAAGCTTAGTGTTTTCGAAGCGAATCAATTTAAATTCCGTGGTGCATGGTTTGAGTCCACTTGGATGGCATAGTGTAATCTCGCTGGATACACTTCACACCCTCGTGGTTTACGAGTGTGTGCTTTAAGCATCAAGGACATCCTATTTTGATTTATTTTTTTCGAGGATCCAAAGTTAGATTTATAGTCGGGTTCAACTATCGATGTTGTTATATTACAGCGACATCAGCGTTGCAACCATTCAAGACGTGCATCGTGGCTGTTGTGAATGTAAGGGTTTCCGTTGGTCTGAGGCCCTGTCCCATCAGAATTGCTCTAATCTGAGAAGGGAAGAGGACATTCATCAGCATGACTAAAGAGGACTTTATGGACCATTCCGTGAACGAGGGTGGGAATGGAGACGAGGTATGTGAGCTTGCGTTAATTGTCACTCGCTGTGTTGTGATATTGACTGTCGTGGAGTATTGATATCATGAGCTGCCGTTAAATATTCTGCCCGAATTGACTTAACTTCGATTTGTTGGTCAGAGTAGCTTCGTGTTGTGAGTTTTCTAAAGTTGTCGATTGAGTGTAGATGTATTTGACCCTTTCTTCTACATTTCCTTAGATCTCACGGTACTGGATTTTGTTGTGAGGACCACAGGAGTACAGCCTTGTTACGGAGAGGTTGAGGCAGCGTACTAATAGGAAACCCATATATGTGGAAGAGGAGGAAGGTATGGAAGGAGATGAATGGGAAGAGGAAGCAGATGAGTTTGAAGAAGAGGAAGATGAAGAGAAAGAGGTCCTTAAAATGGAACAGGTATGACCTTTACGGACTACAGGACTGTTATCGAGGTCCGATTAATGCGCTCTCATCCGTCATAGTTCTGATTATTAATGCATCACTCTTGTGTCCTTTCGACTGTGGTTCCAAGTAAGAGTTGTGGATATTGTGAGATCAATATTGTCATTTTGTAATTCTGAGAACCTCTTAAACTAGGAGGGCCTGGCGTTTTAATTTGTAATCATCGGTGCACGATGGATTGAAGGGTGTGTAGTAGGCTCTATTTGTTCCAAATTTTGCTTTAAATCTATTTTGAGATTTTAATAAACATTAACTCGTAATAGTGGCATAGGCCGTCTGCCGTCCTCGAAGCGTTCACTAACAGGCTTGACCTGAAGACATTAGAACTGGTTACAACATTTTGGAATAGTTCTTCTCGGGCTTCCCGTGGCCTCATTTGGTCTCGAAATCACAATATCCTGAGCCTCGCAAGACTGATAGGTTGACCTTGTTTTGCATTACACACCAGTTTCTTGTTGGAATGTAGTATCGCCGTTTGTATCTTGCATTCATGTAGTGCGTTTTTTTTTTTTTTTTTTTTTTTTTTTCCTTTTCTTTCCTTATCTCTTTTATGTCTTCGTTGGTTAGTAATGATATGCAATTGTTGAATCGCAGAGTGAAGACTTCTGCAGTATTTGCCATCTGGGAGGGGATTTATTATGTTGTGATACATGTACAGCAGTCTTTCATCTTGGTTGTTTGGATCCGCCCATGAAGGTTGTGCCACGTGGCAAATGGAGTTGTCCCAAATGTGTAAGTTCTAATACTTTCTCCTACTGTGTAGAGCGGCTTTTATTTTATTTTATTATTTATTTGTTTTTGTGCGTAGACGTGTATACTTGTCCAGCATCGACGTATTTCTTGCTTCACTTTCCCTTGCTTTGAAGTGAAGCTTCTAACTTTACTTAGTCATCTTTAGCATGAATGTGGGAAGTTATGTTGCTAATTTTTGCGCATGGCCGCTTTGGAAACCTTAATCTTATTCTGTTTTGGTGCTTCTGTTGTGAGTATTAACACGATCTTCAAATACTCTTTGTTGGTTTCTGAATGATGAATTATACAGGCAGACCCACTTGGTGACGTGGAGAAGTTCATCGATACCCAGATGAGACCAATGAAAGTTCCCGGTAGAATAGCTCATAATGCCGAAGAAAAAGTTTCAGAAGACCAACCACCAAAGTTGGTAAAGCAATATTTGGTCAAGTGGAAGTCAAGGTCTTATCTGCACTGCTCATGGTATAACACTGTCTTCGTCATTAGTCGTACACCATTTGCTTTAGATTGCTTTGTCAAGTTGCTTTGGTAATTTTTAATTTTTTAACTTAAAAAATCACATGTTCGTTCAGTTGTTTTGGTGTGTGGCTTCATTCCATGACCGTAGGAGTCCTTCCTGTGAGAGTGTACTTGGTCACGTGTACAGGTTTCTGATAATTTCTTTGATTGGCACGTAACAGGGTTACTGCAGAAGACCTAGAGAGGGGTATGAAGACTTTTGCGGGCCTTCGAATGAAACTGAATCATTTCCATAAGATGCTCGATGGATCTAAAAATTGGAACACACCCGACGAGGATCGCATGCCGATTAGACCTGAGTGGACAACTGTTGACCGAGTTCTTGACATGAGGTTTGGCACTTTTTCCTTTTGGTTTTTCAGCAAAGTTGTATTTAGTGTTAGGCACTGAGGATGCATGTGCAAATTTTTGTGCAGAATGCGTTGGATTCATCTTTTTGAACACAGAATTTTTACATGTTTGTTCGATTTTACGATTTCGCTCACTGTTTGGACCTCGCTGGTCTTTTTTACGGCATACTAGTTAATCTTCACTAGAGACTCATGTAACTGGTGTAATTTCATGTGTTTCTGCTGTAGGCACAATGGTGATATCACTGAATACTTGGTCAAATGGAAGGAACTTGGTTATGATGAGGCCACATGGGAAGTTGAAGAGGACGTCTTAGCTTTTCAAGCAGAGGTAGATAAATTCAAGGAGATAATGAGTCGTCAAGCATTGAAAAAGCGAAAAGGTTCAGCCCTTGACAACAAAGATCTTAAGCGGCGAAGAAAGGACTTCAAACCCTTTAAAAAGACCCCCAAGTTTTTGGTTGGAGGTATTTAATATTTAACTGAGTCATTTTTTGTTTCTACCTTCGCACTGCCGTCTCTATTGAATATTCAATCGAGAATTTTTCTTTAGATAACTCATATTAAATTGGTGCTTATACGTCCTGATTTGGTAGTGCCAATGGTTTTGTTTATGCAGTCAAACGTCAACTCTAATGGGAGTGAAAGTGTTAACTGAACTTTTAGTTTTTGGACCTTCGCCAGAGTTAATAATAATATTGAATGAACAAATTTTCTCTACAAATAAGTGGACTGGATGAGGCAGAATATTGGTGTATTCAATTTGTGGGTTGGAAATTAAAGGATGGGATGGAATTTCTCCTGGACAGGTTCACTGCATCCTTATCAGCTCGAGGGCCTGAACTTTTTGCGGTTTGCATGGGAGCAGAACAAGCATGTTATATTAGCCGATGAGATGGGCCTGGGTATGAGAATATTTCACTTTTATTTCAGCTTCAGTTTCCTCGCCACTTTCTTGTTGCGGACATAGTATAATCTTAGAGTTGTACAAGTAGCCGCTCCTAGAAAGCTTGTGAACGTGATATCCTCACACTTTATTTCAGTCGTACTATTTCCGGTTTTGAAATGTGGGTTAAGTATTCCATTTTCTACAGGAAAAACGATTCAAAGTATCTCACTTTTGGGGTCTCTAATAGAAGAAAATGTGGGTCTCCCCCATTTAGTTGTGGCTCCACTCTCAACCTTACGAAACTGGGAGCGAGAATTTGCCACTTGGTGTCCTCAAATGAACGTGGTATGCTCTTGTGCCTTTGCATTATTCCTTCGGTATCTTACATTCTCTTACTTTTTCAGACATTTTACTTCTTAATGTACTTATTTATGTTTTAATTAATTTTTTTTGTCCCTCCAATTTGTGTACTTTTTGTGTCTATTTGATCTTCAATTTTTTAGACCAATGCACTTCTGTGCTGCTCGCCAAAAAAGAATATGTAAGATGGTTTTCAGTACTCTCTCTTACTGTTTTGGGTTTTTGTCTACGTGTTAGACAAAGTCCTGTTTCTCACCTTTTATATCGTGCACATTCAGGTCATGTATGTTGGGTCCTCTCAAGCACGGGCCATTCTTCGTCAGTATGAGTTTTTTTTCCCTCAAAAGAGTTCAAAGAAATCAAAAGACAAAGGAAAGAAAAAGATGGCAGGGGAGAGCAAGCAGGATAGAGTGAAGTTTGACGTATTGCTGACTTCGTATGAGATGATAAATCTTGACACTACGATTCTTAAAGCTCTCAAGTGGGAGTGTTTGGTACGGTCACCTTCTTTTCTTTTTCCGTTGGAATTAAGTAGTTTTCAAGGTCTTTTTGAAGCATAAAACGAGTTTTAATATGCAATCTTAATCTTTGAAAAGATTGCTACTTACCAGTTTTTTGTATTTTGCCACTTTTAGATTGTGGACGAGGGGCATCGTTTGAAAAACAAGGATTCTAAACTCTTCCAAACTCTCACAACTTTCTCCACGCGACATCGAGTCCTCCTTACAGGAACACCTTTACAGGTTTGTTTTTTTTGTTAGCCTTCTTTACTTCAAGTGTCCCATATGAAACAGTTGTTAGGCAAGCAATTTTCTTGTGGTTCTATTCCTGACATACATACTTGTGGTGTGCTGCAGAACAACCTGGATGAGCTCTTTATGCTGATGCATTTTCTCGATGCAGGCAAGGTTAGTCTGACGCTACTTCCTCGTTATCCCAAGCACTAATGTGTTTCACATGAACATGCTTCCGAAGGTATCTCTATTGCCTTGGCTGATTTGCACTCCGTGTTGCTATGTGTTCTTGTAGTTTAATAGCTTAGAGGAGTTTCAGCAAGAATTCCAAGACATTAATCAGGAGGAGCAAGTTGGACGGCTGCACAAAATGTTGGCACCTCATTTATTACGCAGTAAGAGAACTGCTGCTATCAAGTTGTACACAATCTATGCTTGCAGAGGCACTGAAGACACTGTAGTTGCAAGATCTGAGGATATTAGATCTTGTGTGTACCCTATTTACAGATGCAGGTCGATCTGATTAGTTGTGGCTAATTTTCTTGTTTCAGGAGTGAAGAAGGATGTTTTGAAGGAGATGCCACCAAAGAAGGAGCTTATTTTGCGAGTAGAACTGAGCAGCCTTCAGAAGGAGTTCTATAAGGCAATCTTGACAAAAAATTACCAGATATTGGCCAAGCAGGGCGGTCCTCAGGTTTAGAAAGAAATCCTGACCTCTCTACGCTGATCTTTTCAAGGGGATGGATTGTCGTTAAATTGCCAACTTGTAGCTGTTGGGATCTGCTCAGCTGGATGGAATGCTTGCTAAGAACTTGTTGTCTGTTCTATTTTTAAATTTTAAATTCTTCTTCTTCTTCTTCTTCTTCTTCTTCTTCTTATTATTATTATTTTTATTATTTCTAATTTCTTATGAGCTCTCCTTCGTTTTTAGGAAGCTCACTTGTTCTTTCATAATTGCCGCTCACCTTAGTCTCTCTTAGTTGTTCATGTGCTATTCCTTCTTGTTCAAAAGCTTGCATTTTGTGCTGCCACTACCACTCATCTGCCTATTTTGAAACCCCCAAGTTACTCTCCAAGAAGAACTTTCTTAGGTCAAGAGTGTTCATTGTTTAATATCGTTTCCGTGTGTAGGTTTCGCTTACAAATGTGGTTATGGAACTGCGCAAGTTATGTGGGCATCCTTATTTGTTGGAGGGGGTTGAGCCCACTGTGAGAAATCAGGCTGAAGCTAACAGGTGGGCTTTGGTTTTCTCAAGTTAGTGAGCCTGCTGGGATGTTTCTGATTTTTGGTTGGGGCCAATTCAAAGGAATTTACTGAAGAAATCGAAGTTCTCTGGAGACCTGTTCTTGTCCGCAGCGTTATCATATTTTACTTTCCCGGATTTCGAAGTCTCCTTGTTTACCTTCAATTTTTTCTCAACTGTGAAGTGCGTATTAACAGAGAGTACTGGCTCTGTGGTAGGCAGGCAGTTGTTAGAAAATTCGGGCAAACTATTACTGCTGGATAAGATGATGACAAAATTACACTCTCAAGGCCACCGAGTACTTATTTATTCTCAGTTCACGCGCATGCTTGATATTCTGGAAGATTGGCTGCATTTGAAGGTACATAACGGTTATGCACCTTTTGTTGATGTTGAAGCTAATGTGTCGTCATTAATGGCATATGTTGTCAGGAAACCTCTAATTCACCAGAGGAAAAAATGTTCTTATTCTGAATTCCGTGATGCAGAAATGGGGTTATGAGCGAATAGATGGTAAAATCAGTGGGTCTGAACGCCAAATTCGAATCGATCGTTACAATTCACCCAACTCTACCAAGTTTTGCTTCTTGTTGTCAACTCGAGCTGGAGGTTTGGGTATCAACTTGGCTACAGCAGACACCGTTATCATATATGATAGGTAACATTAGTTAGCAGTTTCTGGTTCTAAAAGTTTTTACGGATCCTAGTGCTTCGTTCATCACGTGTGTTTTTATCAAACCTCTGAAGAGCTTGAGCTGCCTATCAATGTCATTAAGTCTTGTAAGATGCGAGTTCTAGAGGATTCGAGCTTTTATGTTTTTATTACTGCTATGATAAACTATTAAAGGGTATGTGATTCTTGAAATTAGGCTACCCAGTATGCACTCGTGATGATTCTATGTTTTTTTTCGTTCCTTGATATAGCGTAATGTATACCTGTTCAGAGTTTTTGAGGAACTTAAACAGATTAATGTAACCCCGTGTGCTAAGAGTGATGCCTTCTGTGTCAGTGATTGGAATCCACATGCAGATCTTCAAGCTATGGCTCGTGCTCATCGACTTGGTCAACAGAACAAGGTGAAATACTTGTGTCCTCAGTTGTATGTAACGATTTAAAATTTCAATCTCAAACTCGTTTCATTTTGCACAATACCATACTTATAGAACTCTCTTCTTATCCATAACTCCTGCATTGAAGTTTGAGTTGATGGAGTAGAGAATAGACTAATGCAGGTCACTGTGTGATTATTTTTTTCGGGTGGGATGCTCTTCGTTCACTATTTTTCTTGTAGGTCCAATGGAAAGGCTCAGAAGTTCTTATTTTTCTAGTTAGGGTGATTTATTAGGTTTATTACGTGTAGTTAGTAGTTAAATTCAACCATGGTCTTCATAGCACTCTCAGAAGCACAGAATAATTGCTGCACACTGATTGGAGCTCATCTATAATTCACACTTCTGAGCAGGTGATGATTTTTCGTCTTGTTACTCGTGGAACAATTGAGGAAAGAATGATGCAGATGACAAAGAAAAAAATGGTCTTAGAGCACTTGGTTGTGGGTCGCATGAAGAAGGAAAATATAAATCAGGTACACATCGTGTTGATCACAGTATTTTTGATTTTGATGCTGCTTGACCATATTACATGTTAAACCTGATAAGACGTGTATCATGGCACTTGTAAGTGTGCATCCGGTAGCATGACTTCCAGACTTTGAATGTCAACCCATCTAGATCATGGTGAGATGTTTAATGTGTGAACCCTCAACTCATGCTTTGCTATTGATTTTAGAGTGGTCATTGTAATACGTTCTTCAGGAGGAATTGGATGATATTTTGCGGTATGGTGCAATGGAGTTGTTCAGCGAGAAGGACGAAGATGGGAAAACTCGTCAAATTCACTACGACGATTCTGCTATTGATAGGTCTGTCCTCTGGGAGGTTGCTGATATCTTCTGTTTAGTAATTCTCTTTTAATTCTAATTTGCCTTCATTGTCTTATTATTTTATATTTTGCCTGTACGGTTCCTCAAGTATTGGTACTCAGTGATTTCTATTAGAGTGATTTGTTTGTCGTCTTGTCAGTATCTAGTGAAGAGAACCTTGTTCACGCTGTATTAGAGAAGTACGTCAAGTTCTCATGCTCGAAAGGTTTCTATTAAAATATTTGTTTTTTTTATGAGGTATTGAAATTGCAATGGTGTGGCCTGAATTTGCGAGTGTGCATCTGGCAAGCTGAATTGACACGCTTGATCATGCATGATCCTGTTAACTGGTGAACATCTGCAGGCTTTTGGATCGAGCCCAAGTTAATGACGAGGAAGAGAAAGCAGATGATGAAGAAGACAGTGACTTGTTGAAAGCTTTTAAGGTATTTTTATTTTTCATTATTGTAACTTCTGGCTTAAGACAATTGTAATTGATTGTAATTAACGTTATATGTCGTTGAACTTGCTCGCACACCTGTAATCTTGTCTGTCAGACTTCATATTTTCACACATTAAATTATTTTGTTGGACTGTTGTGTCTGCGGCAGGTAGCAAATTTTGATTATATAAATGAAGAAGATGCTGCAGCAGCTGCCGCTGAAGAGGCTGAGAAAGAGGCCCGTGCCAAGCTGGAAGCAGAAATGGAGGGACAAGGACGAGCACAGTTTTGGGATAACCTTTTGAAGGACCGAGTTGTCGAGCAGCAAGTAGAGGAATTTGAAGAACTTGGGAAAGGCAAGCGAAGTCGTAGACAGGTAGTTATCTTACTCATTCTCCTTTACGCTTCTTGTTTCATTACTTGCGATGACCAAATTTGCCTTATCCCTCAAGTGTTTTCGATGTGCTGTCTAGCGCTAATTCAATCTTCCGAAAGTGTGCATATAGTGGAGCGGTGAAAGGTATCACGCGTGGCAATACTTGTTCCTTGGTGTCCCCCTGGACGTTCCCTTATGGAATGTATCAATCTATTTCACGGTGGAAATCTTCGGGGATACGAGACTGGCCTGTCAGTCTGGAAGTTCCAGATAGAACAATTGAGAGCTAATGTTGTTGGTGGTGAATATCTGGGAATGGAGATCTGCATTATTGAGTCATCACTTATCATTCCAATGATTTAATTTTGTATAGGTGAAGCCTGGGCTATATTCTCAAGAAGATGATCTAGCAGGAATGGTTGAGGTGAATTCCGATGATGGGCAAGAACCTGAGTGGGCACCTACTACGGACGCAGACTCTCCCGGTTCTTTTGGAGAACCTGGCGAAGTCTCGGGTAGTAAAAAGCTGCCCTCGTCAAGAAAGAGAGTCAAAGGTACACGCAGGAGTCTTATTGAATACTATGCATTGTAATCATCTACGATTAGAGTTTGCTAAAACGCTGAGACTGCCAACTTAGACGATTTAACGAAGTCATGGTGGTTTGGTTTGTTGGCGAGTTGAATATTGACATGAAGAGAAATCTTTTGATAGACCTTCGCAGGTTTAAGCTTTTTCTTAGTACTTAGCCAGTGTCTTATTAAAGATTTGTGGATTTTATTTTTATTTTTATTTTTATTTTTTTATTTTATTTTATTTTGAGTTTGCTTCTACGTCTTACAACCGTTGGTATGATGTATAGAGCGTATGACAGGCGAGCCACCGCCGTTGATTGAGGGAGAAGGCCGAGAACTTAGGATCCTTGGCTTTAATCATAGGCAACGCTCCATATTTGTGAACGTTCTTATGAGGTGAGCATTGAGTTCAGATCTACTAGAGATGCTTGGTCATATCTGCCTTATGTGTAAAACTCAGGTTGTGTACGTCGGGTTTTCTCGAGTTGACCTAATGTTCAAGACGTATGTTGTCAAGATTTGAGATGCAAAAGTGAATGGATGCTTAGTTTATTCTAAATCAATGTACTTTCTACATGCACAGGTTTGGCTTGGGGGATTTTAGCTGGTCTGAGTTTATTCCTCGTCTGAAACCCAAGACGCCTGAGGAAATTAAGGAGTAAGGAATAATTGTAACGCATATTTTTCTTTCTGATATTATACTGCTTATTTGATCACAGGGTTTATTTTAATGTTAACTTTTTTGGTACATTGACTCTGTCTGCTCCAATTGCTGTTGGCAGTTATGGGACTCTATTCCTAAGCCACATTGCGGAAGATATAAACGACTCTCCTTTTTTCTCTGGTAAGATGTTCCTTCTCCTATTGCTGCTTTCTCGTTCCTTTACAATTGAACGTAATACTTCATTAGAAAGCTGCATGCATATATAGTGCAGATCCAGCATTATGCCAAAATCCTGACGGTCTTATATTATTGGGTTGCAGATGGTGTCCCTAAGGAAGGTCTTCGCATCCAAGATGTCTTGGTACGGCTAGCGATTTTGCACCTCATTCGTGACAAGGTAGATGTCTTTCCTACTCTTTATTTTCTCAGGTTTACTATTGTCTTTACGTAAACATTGTTCAATTCACTCATCTCTTGGGGTTAGTGCACATTTATTTCATTTCTGTTGTTGCACATTATTCCTACGGTTAAATTTGACCAGTGCTGTTTGCAGGTTAAAGCTCTGTCAGAAGACCCATCAATACCTCTTTTTTCTCCAGGGTCACACATATACCGTTATTATTCTCTTCGTAACACGAAAGTTTGGAAGGAAGAGCATGATCGGAAGCTGTTGTACGCAATATGCTCGTAAGTAGTTAAACGTTTTGTTCGGACTGTTCATTTTGAGGACGTATTCCAGCATTCGGGTAGGAATAAAGCAGCTTGTTAGAGCTAACTGTATTCATTATATGTAGCTAAATATTTTCTAATAACTCGTGCGATTAATTTTTGGGAATTCCTTAATAGGAGGCATGGCTATGGGAGATGGCTATCGATTGTAGAAGACCCCCAGCTGGGATTGGGTCCTGTTATTCGCGGTGAACTGCTTCTACGAGGTGTCAATGACATTGCGGGCCCTTCCAAAAATGGTAATGCCCGCTCGAGTGACCACACCTGAAGACCCTTTCACATGTGATTAGCTTTGCTTATATCCTTTTGGGAACCTAGAATATAAGTCAGAAAGAGTTACTTACTGTATCTCCAACTTTGTTTAGTCCCGAATGCGATTGTGGTCTAAAATTGAACTGTCTGGTTGCATGTCAAGGCGAAGCGCCTGTTCCTGCGGAAGACGAAGGACCATCTGGATTGCCGGCTGAGGCTGACAGAGAAGAGAGAGAAGCTTATCTGCAGAAGCGGATGGTGGACTTTGTAAAGAGAAGGGTTTTGGTCTTGGAGAAGGTCCTGAATGCAGAATACCATTGCACGGTATGTTTTACTGTGTACATTATCCACTGTTTGTTTAACATATTTTTTATGGTTTTGGATGATAGTATATATGCACTACGCGTCTCCTGCATCTGAAGAGTTTTAATAGTCGACCAGTCTCACCTTTAGCTGTATTGAGTTCCTACCAAGAATTTAATAGAAGGTCCTGTTATTCATTTGTTTTAAAGTGATTTGATTAAATTATGTATACACAGGGGGGAGACGTAGTTCAGGTTGAGGAGGCTCCCCCACAAATGATGACGAATGACCAAGCCATGAGAGGTCATCAATCTTCACAGATGATGATGAATGATCCACATGTGCGAAGTCATCAAGTACCACAAACGATGATTCACGATCCTGGCATGAGGGGTTATCAATCACCGCAGATGACGATGAATGACCCAATGGTTAGAGGTTATCAGTCGCCACAAACAATGAATAGTAGTGTGGGGATGGGAATTCAGCAGCAACCGCATTATCACTCGATGCAACAAATGCGACCTCCTGTGCAGGAACGCGGCCATCCTCCACCTCGACATCCTGTGATAATTTGTGAGTAATTGCTTACTTTTGGGGGCATGATATCTTGTGTAATTTAATACAATACTATCGTCATATTCGACATTGTTTCGATCTAGGTTTCGATCTTTTCACATGATACACTGGGCCCTCGGTGGATCTGGTTAAATGTAGAGGATGTGTAATATCGCAATTCAAAGGTCGTATATCGACGTGTATGCAACGTATACTTGCGCGATTGTGGATCGGAAAATAAGAATCTTGAACGTGAACGATTCAGTTACTGACATCAACCTTTCTTTGGCTTCAGCTCCTGAGGAACTTGCTGCAAATGCTTACGACAATGAAGAGGGCCGCCTGAAAGTTGCTCAAATATATAATCAGGTGTGCAGCTTCTTGTTGAGTAGTTCACTTCTGCGTTGCTCAATGATCTTTCTTTGGGACTTGTATCAGTGGTGGCAGTTTTATGTCTCTCAAATCGTGGTGGAATTCTTTAGCTATCTCATTGGCAGAGTTTCTAGCTCTACAATTCTTTTCTCGGATAGACTCAATTGCATTCCCCCAAGAAATTGGTGCAACTCTGCGAATCAAGCGGCACCTGGTTATTGTGTTGTTTAAGAAATGCTCAAACATTGCAATAATCGAGTTGAGAGGCTCAGTTGGGGTGATGGAGTAAAGTTTATGATTTTGTCTGGTCATATTTGCATCGAGAGTATGCGTCTCCATCTGACTGCATTTGGCCAATACAGATTTGTGCAACAGTAAACGAGAACGAAGGGGATGCTATTCAAGCTTATGGAGGAAACAAATCGGCTGGGCTTCGGGTTCGGAAGGCATTGCGAGAGATTGAGATTCTCTGTGTAGACATGCGTAACGCCCTGTTCGATCAACCTCTACGAAAGACGGCAGGTCGTAAGAAAAAAGCAGATGAGGTAGAGGGAGCAGAGCCTGCTGGGGAGGGAGCCAAAGATGGAGTGGATGGTCAGTCCGATGATGGCCTCGAAGACTTCAATGAATACTACGATAGAGAGATAGATTCCGATATTGAATGTGATGTTGAGACTAGGCGACCCTCTTCTACTCCACCTAGTGAACCTAGCAACGAAGTTCATGAGTACCAGTTCCTTAAGAAAGCAGACGCAGATGTAGGTGAACGATCTTGGCCTCACGGATTGCAAAGTTTGAAGCCTGGGATGCGGATGGACTTGGGCGGGCCTAGGCAGGCTCCTCCGCAGATGACACCCCCAGCTCAGGGGACTCCTAGCGTCGTTCTTCAGCATGAAGAAGGCAAGTGGCCTCCTGCCGTCGTATACTTGGACAGAGATTGAGTTGATTGCTTAGCTTTTAACTTTGTAGATGATACCTTCATTTATTTATTCAAGAGGGTGCAGGTGAAGGTTGTGGATGGGACCTTCTTTGATGTGCGCCTGGATTTCCAGCTTTGCAACTTGTAAATCTCTTCTTTTCCGTGTGTTATGCTGGAGTCTTTTTTTCGTTATATCTTTACTCTACATCCACCCTCATTTTCCATCGAAATTCTTCGTCATGAGATGAACCTCTGACACGGAGGACCCACGCTGTCTTGAGAAGGAATGAGTGGTGTGGTGGAGATATCAACCGCTTATAAACTTGAAAAACGATTTGGTTATTCGCTCAGCTGCTTTTCTGTGTTATCCAAACGATGAATTCCTTCAAAATGAAATTGCATTCCCAGTTGCAATGTGTTAATGGGTAGCATGTGCGCTAAAATGTGTCACTATTGTCCTTGTCACATGGTTTTCAAGCAATCTTGGTTTTACTTTTATCATGATGTGCACATAATATTTCCAATTCTGTGCAATTTAAATGACTGACATTGACAGCGCATTCCCACTGGAATCTCGCTTCTACTTTGGGGGGCTTGATTAGCTACGTGTCTTATATCTGTATCATGGCCATTAGTGTTCCTTGTGTTCGGGACTGATGCTAGTTTGAAATGTTTTGGTTTTTCCACTTTTTTATTATCTCTAGAAGTATTTTAACGTGCATGTTATCTTTACTTCTGTTGTGTTGTGGAGAAATCCCTTAGTAAACACACTTGAAATGTACATATCAACATGATTGAGACTTCCAAATTCAATAGAAATTGCAAATCAAGATTCTGTCTCTATTCTGTGGATTTCAAGTCCATAATGATAATGTGTATGCAGTTTTATTGAAGGTTATGGAAATTCCACATGTAGGGTCTGTACGGAAGAGTACTGGTGCAATGCCAGTTCTCAATGTATGCAGGGGAAGTTGATCCCCTGTGCACAGCATTCAAAATCTCAAACATTCAAAGGTAGCTAAAAATATGGATCTTGTTGGTGCTGACAACAACCATGAACATGGTAGTGAAAGGTCAGGAAAAATGAATAGTCAAAAAATAAGTAAAAATAAATAAAATAAAATAAAATGAGGATATTAGCATATGTATCTCCAACATCTTTCCATTGAAGCAGAATTACTTGATTACAAATATGCTTGTTGTAGTATTCTTTTTTTATTTACCAATCGATTAAACATAATTTTATACTAATGCACAAAACATAATTCAGAATAGTGTTCTATATGTTATGTTCTTATACAAACTAATATAATTGAATAGCTTAAATTTGATTTTCCATAGTAAATTACTTGAAAATTAATATATATATATATATATATATATATATATATATATTTTGTTTTTCATACTTTGAAAACCACTTAAATTTGAATGATAATGCTATTTTCTCAATTTTATACTACTGTATTTTTTGATTTTAATGCATTGTCTTATTTGACTTAAATAATTAAAAAATAGTTTATAAATAAACAGCTTGGAGGTAAATATGCTTAGAAGAAAGTGACAAGAATTTTTACAATACAAAATTTGTGAATTATTTTTGTTTCTTCAAGTTTTGGTTTTTTTTTTTTTTTTTTTTTTTTTTTTTGTAGATTTATTCTAATAAGATAATCTTCCTTATAAAAATCCCAGAGTAATAAATTTTCCATTTTAGTTGTGGCAATTGAAAACCCATAGCCAACACTTGTCTTCTTTGACAACTACATATTTGTTTATTTTCACAAAGCACATGGTTAGCATATTTTTACTTCATAAATGCTATCAAGAAATATGTTGTGATTGTAATCATTTTGGAAGGTAGAAGAAGAGTATTGTAGACACTCTACACTAGTGGGTATCAAAGGAAAAGAATGAGTAAGTGAAGGTTTAATTAAAAATTAAGAAGCCAATGAGATGGCAACATAGAAAACCACTAGAGAGTATTATTGGCTAGAAAGCTATGAGAAAAATGTGGCATACTTTTTGTGGTATATTTTTTTAAGACATCAAAAGTAGGCCTTAAAGTCATGGGTTCTACCAAAAAATGTCCTCCCAAACTTAATTTTCTTATTCACAAGAAAAGACAATGGAGATGAATATCTATCATAAAAAAGGAATCATCTTCATTTGAAAACATTGTAGAACATCAACAATTCCTTAATTTGTCATTTGAGAAATGGTCCTCTTGACTCTTGTACAAAAGGGCCATTTGACCATTGAGAATGCACAAATGACGGTGCGTTTTCTAATTACAATGATAAAAAACCTTCAGTGCCTGGTTCATCACATTCTGGACTATGTTGCATTTCGGTTATATAGGATTTCGTGTTTGCCCTAGTAAATTTCCTGAACTCTTCAACCAGTTGAAGATTAAGTAGGCTTTTGAATGGCATCTGTAAAGTAAGCAACAGAAGAACCCTGTTGTAGAAATGTATCTATAAAAGAAAAATTTGATGTTGCTGATAAGTATCACTGCATAAAATTCTGAATAATTCCAGCTCAGATCTTCAGGTCTAGCCATGTATTGGAGACCACCATTCTGAGTAAAAGAATAACCTACAATTAGAAATTCTCTACGTACGAGAGATTCTGTGGTGGTGGGGAACATTCCCTACTATGAATCAATGTGAATGATACGGTCCTATCTAACTTCCGCTACCATAGAGGAGGATTGTTGTACCTCTGGAAGCACATTGTAAGGCATCCACCATAGCATCAATATAAGCAGGGGAGTTGTGGTCTGAGAATATCGTATTGGACAATACGATTCGGCTGAACCTTGAGTTGGGGTCAGTACCCTTCACTACTGTGTGGGTGACGGTCCTAGCCCCATTTCCACCAACATTTGTCGGGGACAAACCCGGTGGGAGGAGCTGCCGGAGAATGTGATAAAGTGTTCCAGGAAGATGCAACCGACGTTGCAGAAGTACCTCAGTTTTTGTAGTACTCGTCCCTGCCTGGATTGCCAGAGCAGACACTGCTACTTGCTGATCCGACCTCCGGGTCTTTTCCTCTATTTCAGACAGGGACTTTTGAACGCCATGAGAAACTGTAATGCAAGGTGGAACCCCATATTACACCACCGAGCCTGCTGGATCTATTCCAATTTCTGTGAAGATTTAAAAGCTACTACAAAAGCTAAATACATGAAGTCTTAAAAACTGCGAGAAAAGTCCACTTCAGGGGAGGAAAAGATAGAATATAGAAGTACAGAAAATTTAATGACAATTCTACAAGATAGCATCCAGGAATCCAAACCTCTCTTATGAGCTGCTTGCAAAAGAGTTCCGGCGGCTGCAGTCCCTAGCGAGAGCCAAGCACCAGCCTTTGAAGTCCTTGAAGATTTTCCAGCTATTTGAGACACTACAGCATTTCCAGCGCTCAGAATTTTGCTCAACCCTTTCTCCTTCGCAACATTAAAGACAGCTAACGCTGGAGGGGTTATCGGAAGAGCACTGATTCGCTGAGTTGTTTCATGGACCATATCCACAAATTGCCTTTGCGTGCTTCCCTCCTTGAAGGCCTGACTCCTAAACACCCACTTATCAAAGACCGATTGATGACATTAGTGACATGGAATGCGCCTCAATTCTACATGATTTACCCTAAATCACTTCAAATAAAGAAATAAAATGTTTGCATCAAGATATAGGAACTCTTAATATTCATCATGGATATTGGATTGAAATAGACTGCTCTTGTACAAGATGATTTGTTTTAGATCTATCTATCTATCTATCTATCTATCTTTTCATGTGCCAACTTCCAACAAAAATGAAAATTTCCAAGGGTTCTTTCTTCGTAAAATTATCTGCAATCCTTCCCAATGCTGAAGTTTTCCCCATATGTACTATCCAACTACATTAAAAACACAAATGCAGAGATCATTTTGCAGTCAGAACACAAGTTTCAGCACACCCTCTACGCAACATTTTTGTGGAGGATCCTACCATTCTGTTTGCGCCACCTCTAACCGCAAGTCCTCTAATGCAGCTGGACTAACCCTGGAAACAACATCATCCTGCAACAGAACACAATTAGTAGATTACAGCAGTGAAGGACGGAAAAAACATATGTGAATAAGCGAATGAGATACTTCCAAGGTAGGTGTAAGACCTGAAGGACGACATTGTGTATAAAGGATGACGCGATGGCAAGCTCAAAGTTAACACAAGGCGGGCTTCCAAATCCCCAGCATGTTATCATTTCATTTGGGATCTTTAAGATTTTCGATACATTAGCCTCTTCAGCAGATGTTTCCTTTAGCAGGAGACCTAAAAGGGCAGCTGTGCCTGCCCCCATTGAGTGGCCCGCAAGCACCAAACGAAAACCCTGTCAAACATTTCTCCTTTCGTCACACCACTCCGGTAAAATGTGGATTGTTACCATGCGTGCGTGCCAGAGCTCTAAGGGAACAAAGAACCTCTCTTTGATAGATATTCAATCCTACTTTGATAAATATTCAATACCAGCTGGAACACTGGAGATGTAAAGCTATGCTTTGGGATCATGCATTGGCAGCTATAAACGAGGCGTAAAAGCATCATTCAAGAACAAAAGCTACGACAAATAATAATAGCATCATTCAAGAACAAAAGCTACGACAAATAATAATAGCATCATGCAATCGAGGTAAGTCATCCATGCACCTAACGAACATATAGTTGCCTCTCCCATGCAGTTATGAAAAATCCAATAATTTCTCCAATGAAAGTACTATACCAACAAGTTCTGTACAACCGTTTACCTCATTTTCTTTGAGAACGTTTTGCAAAGTTTGGCCTTCATTTCGGAGCAACCATTGTGCGGCAGCTAACATTCCTGAGTGTGCAAACCTAAATTCAGACATTATTTGTTTGTCAGATCATGAGGCTCATTGTGGACAGTAAACTGTGCTCTCAAACAGAAACTAAAATACGATTCATCTATTAATAGAACAATGTGGACAAGTCGAGCATGAAAGACTTGGGAAAAACGTAAGGCACTACTTCACGAAAATCCAGAATTGAAGCTTATCACGTCAAGGCATTATTTTGGATAAGTTTACGAAGTGCATTAAGTAGTCCGCAATGTACCTCTTAAGAACGTAAACCTAGAAGCACAAAATCGTAATCCGACACTCGAAAAACACAAGATATTGAGATTTATCTTACCCTCCTTCAAAAGGTTCACAATGGGTATTTAGGTCTGTTAGGACGTCGTGAGCTGCACTTGTACCCCGGATACCCATTACTATACAACGTTTGCGGTGATACTTAATAATATAATAAGCAGGCTTCTTCACATCGGATGTGCCCACGTGCGTCACAATGTCCTCCTCCCGAATCTGTCTTCACTCGAATCAAGCAAACCATTGCCCTGAGCGAATCTATTAGGACGAACCAATACGACATTAAAAGATGATTATGGACTGATTTTGCACAAAAGAAAATTACCCGCAGTACTGAAGCAAGTGATCTTTGATCCCTCTTGTACGCAGCTTTGGCCCATTGTAACCATTCTAAAATATTTTCCAACTCACTTCTGCACATGCAAACCACTACGTCACACTTAGAATTTTTAAAAAAAAACACAAAAATCGCTAAACCTCACAAAATCCAAATCCCCAAGACGCTTCATCCCGAGAAAAATGCAAAATCACACCAAATATACGATTCCCAATTGGCCAATGAACAAGCTCACCGAAGCACGATAGGAGCACCCTTGATAGTATCCACAGCGCCTTCCAATGCGTGCCGACCTGACAGCTTGTATAATCCCAGAGTCAAATCGGCCATACTCCATTTGCTCATCCCCGAGGCGCTGTGCATAACACTGGCAGCCATGGCTGTGAGCACCTCTTCCATTCCTGCTTGCTCCATCCGGATTTCTAAGCATTACAACGACGACGACGACGACGACAACAATGTGATAACAAAGTTGACTAAAACACTCCGCACTACATCGAGAAAGACCCAAAATGGGTACAGATCGAGTGAGTATAGAAAGAAGGTTTGAGAGGGTGTCGGTGCATGAATGGAGATCGATGGATCGATCACTCGCAGGAATTGCAACGACAACACTTCTTCTTCTTCGAGAAGCTCACGGAGACTTCAGGTATCTGTTGCGTGACGGTCCCAGACGGATGAATGGATGAATGGGTGGATAGATGATTTATTTATGGATGAATGAATGAATGGGTGGATAGATGATTTATTTATGGATGAATGAATGAATGGGTGGATAGATGATTTATTTATGGATGAATGAATGAATGACGGCTCGTTGTTCTGAACCTCGGATGAATGATAAATGTTGTTCCAAAGGTTGACGAGCGTGTGAATAATTTTATTTAAATTGACAGTACATATTATTATTATTATTATTATTGTGATAATTATCTATATATATGAAAAACCTTTATTTTATGAATTAGGGTTGAGTTGAAGTAAACTACATTGAATTACATTTCAAAGTTACTTAATCTGAAGTTATTAAAGAATGTACTATCCATAAAATAAAATGAAACTGTGAAGAAATGAGAATTTTAAAAGACAATAATAGATGGGACCTTCTTCTTAATTATATAGTGATCATTCTTACTATAAAAAAAGATCTGAAAAAAAAAAAAACAAGTTCGAGTAATATGGCAAAGTATACAATATATAACATCTAAAAATGGTTGGCTTTATCATCAACAGTTTAATCTATCTAGATTTTGTTAAATGATTTATAAAGGCATTTATGCTTTAGATTTTGTTCTACGAAACATAAAAAATAAAAAAACAAAAATCATCATTCGATTGTATTATACATACATACATACTTAAGAGATTTTTTTAATATGTCTTAGTAATTGTTTAAAATTGAAACATGATTAACCAACTACTGAAATTGACAATAAGAGTACAATCATATCAATAGTAAAATAATCGAAATATTTTACATTTCATCTTGTTAGTGATATTAATGTGATAACACCACCATAGTGATCATCATTCTAAAATCAAATATACAAAGATCAAACTTTAAATTATGTGAGAACATTTTGGGAAGAATTTCGAATATTTACTTTACCAACTTTAGCATCCTCATAATCCTCACTCACAGGTTTAAAGCAAGTTTTTAAAATCTTACTAAAACTTTGAAAAAACTACCAAATGGCATTAATTATAATATTTGAAACATATATACCTAAGCATTAAAAGGTGTATCAGTTGTGCAGAAACAACAGGTGGAAATGACAATAAATACAGTCTTGAAAGGCAGACTTGTGAGGTCACAAGGAAGACGCTCGAGAGACTCAGACGGAATGATTTACAAGAGTGCCTTGTTTTACCTTCTAACCTTCCGAACTCACTCACTCTCATTCACTCAGTCACTTGAAAAATGTGAACAAATTGCATGGCAATCTGGCTCCCACTGCACCTGCAACCTCAGAACCATGCCACAGACGGCACATCTCGAAACCAATATGCACATATAGTTTGTGTACGTGTGGATACAGCTTCACTGGGAATACCACAATCTAGCTCAAAACTAACTATAAAACATAATGGCGATGGAGGGATGGATTAACCGCCGCAGCCTCCACCGCATCCACCACCGCACCCGCCGCCACCATCTAGAGCCGAGCCCAGCAACATGCCTCCCAGCAATCCAGCGCCCAAGCCCATCCCGGGACCGCCCCTCCTCCTCGGCTGCGCTTGTTGGTGTACATATTGTGGATGCTGTTGTTGCGGATAGTATGGTTGTTGCTGTTGGTATTGTGACCCTCCTCCCATGCCGCTTGCGTATGGCACTCCCACGCTCGGAGGAGCGTACTTCGCCGCTTCCTCTTCAGATACTACTCTTCCCACCTTCACTGCCACGTTAATCAAACCCTGGACCTTCCCTGATTTCTTCCGGACCTGCACGGGGTTAACGGAGTTAATCAGACTAGATTTTTGGACAGTGTGTTTCATGTGCTGCAGAACATGGCGGCGCAGCCAGTGAGGGATGTAGCTGGTGATGATCTTGAGAGTTGGGGGGTTGTAAGGGAACTGACCTGATATGAGGAGCCTTTGCTTTGCTCCTTCACGTCTGAGAGGGAAACAAGCGCTGACCCAATAAACTTGTTGGAGAATTTTCCATGGTTGTAAATCTCGACCGTGATGTTAGCGTTTCCTTGCTGGATCAGGCTCTCCTCCGCGACCAGCTTAATGATGGTGTTCCACGTCGGGTTCACTCCTCCGCCATTGTTCACGGCACCGGAAACCTTCATGTGGGGGTAGATCCACGCCACACAGTAAGGGTTCATCACTCCTCCTGTCAGTTTCACGTTCTTCAAGTCTTTTGCCGACAGCACCGTCACCTCCAGCTCCCGCTGCGGACCCATCGGAACCGAACCCCTCTCTCGCTCTCTTTCCTACGCCAACAATCCCTGGCGTCTACTAAACCGACTTCCTACAAATCCGACGAATTCAAATCGGCTTCAAAAGCTACCACTCCAATCCAAAACAACAACAACAACAACTTTTGTCCGAAATCCGCCACAATACTTTTTCAGACAGACAGACAGATTGAATTAAGTGAATGCGCGCAGATTAAGTAGAGGGAGCGAGCCGCGTATCGGAGGGCAAGCGTGACGAAAAAGATTCCCCATGTAGAAGTAGTGCCACGCTGTCCAAATCAGACTTGCCACACCAGACTATTACATGTCACCACTGGTGCTGACACGTACGCAGAGGCTTGGACCTGTGCACACGTACAAGGCTTCGAAATATCTCGTTTCCAGTGGACTTCGAGGAAGACTTCAGGTGATCCGTGTGAAAATGTCCATGTGTGTTTCACCGTGAAAATGGAATATTCCTTAGATATTTCGAGGTTTCGTGGGGCTTTCCGCAGACAGCTCCACGATAACCTCGAAATATCGTGATATATCATCCTTGAATGAATGACGTTAAGTTGGATGTCTTTATGCACTAGTATGATGCCCTTCATATTCACGCAACTGTTCTGTTATTAGGCCAACTTTAATGTGTTGAGTGAAATAGTGTTGTACTTTTTATTGTTGGACAAACATGGACTGGTTTCCTTAAAATCATGTCAATAATAATTGCCCAATAATATCTTAATACAAATATCTTTATAATTTTACATATATGCTTAAAGTGTTAGAATGTGTATTATCATGCATTGGCTATTTGTTAAAGTGAGAACAAATATCATGTTGTGCAGTATTCTCTGTGTGCATATTCTATGCATCAAACGATATATATATATATATATATATATGTATAATTTAAAGTATAACTCTTACTTAAATAGTATAGAATAATAATTAAGATAATAATAAAAATGATAATAATAATGATAATACCACTTTAATAATATCGTGCATGATTAAATATTGCAAATATTAAATTCAAACATGCAATATTTTACTATTTGGTTTTTGAAGAAAATTATTATGCTTTAAAAAAAATAATAATGATCTCAATTAAATATTTATTTACAAAATTGTAATAATACATGAAGATATGTTTTGTATTTTATTTTATTGTTTCTATGATGATATTATAATTCATACCATTGATTATTTAAGAACATATATTAACATACTGATTTCAAATAGGATAATTTTTTTAATGTTTATGATGAATATAAACTATTTATGACTTTTAGATTATTACATTGTAAAGATTCGTGTATTCTTGTTTTATGTTAATAGTATATTTGATTATTGTAAGAGAATGATGAGTTTTTTATATTATTTTTTTATCAAAATTATATTATAATAGTTAAAATAACTATAATTATTATATTTATTTTTTTTAAACTTCATTTTTGATAATAAAAAATTAATCATATTTTAAATATAATACCAATTAATTAAAATATATTATATTTGCAATGTTAGAAATCCCTATAAAAAAATATATTTGTAAGTTTTAATTGTGTAAACTAAATTAATTTTTGAATATTTTCTAAATATAATATAATATATAATATTGATTTTATTGTTTTAAAAGTATCAAAGGTGTTAATAGAATGTGTAATTCCTATTAGACATAAGGTAGAATGGGCGGTTGACACCACTTTGCCAATTGACAAGTTCTAGCCACCATTTGTTGATGGTAATACCATTTAGTCGCCATAGCCTACCAAGCCATCATACGGCCTAACAAGATGAATGTCCATATGTTAATTGGACATTGTTGACTAGGCTAATTGTTTGTATATTCACACTAGAAAGTCCATATGGTTAGATCATGGACTTGTGCTATATAAGAAGTAGAAGTAGAGGTTCATTTTAAGTATTTGTTCTCTTGAATCTTTGATAGTAAGGTAGAGAACTCTTTTGTATTTGATTCATAAAACTTCTATCTTAGCAATACACTTTCTCTTTATTTTCTAACATGGTATCAAAGCCTTGGTAATTTAGATTTACTCTTTGATGAGTTTGAATGAATCAACTGAGATTGTTTTGCAAGACTTGATCTTTTGATCAACTTTAAGAAAGTTTTATTTTTTGCATTAATTTGAGAAGAGTTGAACCTCTCATGAGCCTAGAACTTAAGCCACTAATATTTTGGATAGCTTATAATTGAAGCAACTAAGCATTAATTTTGAAGGAAAAAGAACATTTTTAAATTTCAGTGCTATAAGCAATAGATACTTGAGCTTGTAGATGTTGATCTAATCAGACTAAAAATGGAGCCTATTAGCAGTAGAAGGACTTGATAGCAAAAGCAAGATGTGGTAGCAACAATGGAATCGAAGAATGGAAGTGGAGCCAGCATAGTCTAAGGAGCTTTAACAAGACCATGAAGCTCCAATTTGATTTTTTTCAAGTTTTTGGACATAGTTTCATTTAGAAAGCTCTAGAAATTATAATTTTTGGAGTTTTGAATTGAATTTTTAAAAAATTCTAGTAATATAATTTCACATATTTTAAAAATACTTTAGAAAATTTTAAAAATTCTTTAATATTTTTTATTAATACTCAAAAAGTCTATAAGTAGGTGTAAAATCTTACTTAAATCTCATTTTTATTCACCTTCTATTTTATCCTCTATTTCTTCAATTTCATCTATTTAGGATATATTTCTTGTAAGATGGCAACAAAGTACAAGATTATAGAAAAATTTGACAAAGACAATTGGTACTTGTAGAAGGAAAAAATCTAATTTATCCTCATTGATAAGGATTTATCGAAGGTTGTTTGTAGAAAATATAAGAAACCTATTGGATAACGCATAGATCTAAAAGAGTTAGAAAAGTGAGAGAATATAAATTAGAGGATATTATCTACAATTTGCCTACATCATAAAGATATAGAATTTCTAACCATGAATAAAGCAGAAAGTGCATAGACAGTATTGCAAGGTCTAAAAGCAATATACAACTTAATAAATAATTCAAGCCTATTATATTCGATTTAGAGGTTGTGACTATGTAAATGAATAGAGGTGACAACATTGTCATGTATGTAGGCTAGTTATGGAAGATGGCTGAGAATTTTTTTTTTTATTAGGAAGAATATTTTTGATACACACTTTGTAATGGGATTACTTGGAAGTCTCCTAGAATCATACCAGATATTGGTGGTGATAGTAGAATAAGACCTCTAGTAGAACTAACATTACAAATGGTCACAACTCAACTATTACAATAAGAATCTTACAACAAGAATGTAAGATCAACCTTTGAGGTGGCATTGACTGTAGAAAGAAAATCCAAGTCATATTTTTATATTCATACTCATATTCATGTAGGATCTTCACATGATTATAAGAAGGATGTCATATACAGATATTATGGCAAGAAAGATCACTATGAAAGAAAATGTCAAATCAAAGAGAAGGACAAGAAGTTAAGAAAATTAAAAAAAAAGCTTTTCAAAAAGAGCACGTTAATATAATAGATAAAAAAGATTTAAATGATGATAAATTTGACTTTGTAGCTATATTTTCTATCACTATGAATAAAATAAGACTAGTCTATCTTGAAAGTTTAAGACTCTTTTGATCCATAATAATCTAAAACTTCATTATAAAGTAGGATAAAATGGACTAAGAAAAAACTAAATAGAAATAAATAGAATAAGATATAAAAAAAAAATTGTGCAAACAAAAATAGAACAAAATAAAATTAAATAGAAAGATGCAAAATCAAACTTTATTAAGAGAGAAGGTCTGAAGCCATACTTGGCGAGATACCCAAAAGGCCTTGGCTAGTTTTGTTTATACTTTGTTTTATTACCCTCAATATTCTAGAATGTTCCTAGATGATGGATCTTGCTTAGATAACCACCTTAAACTCCTTCTAGAAGGTTCCATTGTAGACTCTATCTAGATAACCATACTGAGTCTTTTCTAAAAGATTCTATGGTAGACTTTACCTACAAAACTACCTTAAATTCTTTCTAGAATGTTCCATGGTGGATCCTATCTGATCCACTAAGCTAGCCTTAATTCTAAAAACTTCCATAACTTTTCAAACATGGTTCCAACTATCTATCTCTATGTGTCAAAAATACAAATATCTTATCTATATTGTATTATACTTAATTTTCCTTCATTAACTTGGAATGTCCTCGTTTTGCTTCTAATGGTATCTCCAAATTGTCTCATGGCAATGTGTGTAGTTTTGTGCAAATTCTCATGTTGCATTATAGATGAAATAATCTTTCCAAAAAACTTTGTAGTGAAGTTGTAGATGTCTACTGCCATGGCAAAAGAAGCGATGTTCTTAAATACTATCCACTTCATATTCTTATTGGTCATCAACTACAATTAGTGGTGGTAGTGGTTGACATGGATCTAGAAAGTGCTTTGGCTTGGTATAAAATTACTTTAGTTACGATACATAGAAGACTGGATGGATCGAAATATATGGCAAAAGCTCAAGGCAATGTCATACTGTAATTGCTTATAGTATGTAAAATTTAATTAGGACATATAATATGTTCATAAGTCTTGGTGTATGTTAGAATGGTTAATAGATTAATTTAAAGAGAGTGGATATAAAAAAAAAAAAATTGAATTTTATCTATTTTGATTATAGTAATTAAAAAAATTATAGGACCTAAATGTTTAATATGAAGCCTTGAGAAAATATTAGAGCTTAAAGAAGAAATTCTTAACTAGTATGAGGCTTATTGGAAGGGATGAAAGCAAGGCATGGATGGATGAAGGTAAGGAATGGAGATCTTCATTCCTATTGGTCGAAGGCCATGCCCAATGGGCTTCAAGGAGGCCGCCTGAGGCCTTATTAGGGATTAGTATTTTTCTTTTGAAGTCATTTGAGCTTTGAAGGCTAGAATCAGCAAGTTTAGATTTTTGGATACAAATTGAGTGCAAATTTTGTATGATTTGTAGTTTTTATGAAGGAGTTATTGGTGCTCAAAGTTAAGGTATCAATTTTATACCTACTGTCACTATTTGGGGCATAAAATATATTTATAGAGAGCAAAAAATGATCGGCAATTAGAATTGGAGAGAAAACTTGTTCAATTATACTTTTCATATATTATTTGATGAATTTGGAGTTTGGATAAAGAAATTAGAGAGGGTTGAAGTCAATGAATCTAAATCA